CAGATGAAGGGGACATTTAGATCAAATAACAAGTAGCTCAACTGCTGATGGAAAGGTAGAGCTTGCTGTCTGAATTTTTACTTGATATTAATTACAAACAAAAATAATCCAAGGTAGGCACTTCAAATTGGGCAGTAGGGAGAGGACACTGGAAAGGGAAGTAGGAAAGCATCACAGAAAATGTAAGGTGGGGGCTGGGGATATGGCTCAAGTAGTAGTACGCTTGCGTGGCATGCGTGAGGCACTGGGTTCGATCCTCAGCACCACATAAAAATAAAATAAAGATATTGTGTCCACCTAAAGCTAAAAAGTAAATATTAAAAAAAAAAGAAAATGTAAGGTAGCCCATGACAGGTACATTATGGAAGCAGCTGCATGAGTCATTTTTCCGCCAAAGGATTTTTATTTCGAAGGGACTTAATGGTGAAGCACTATTAATGCATTAATTCCAGTAATTAAAAAAATAATATAAACCAAACTACTAGGAATGTGTAATTATAATTTTATGAAAAAAGCCCATAAAATATTAATCTTAAAAACTAGGAATTCTCTTTAAAAATTGCCCTAGATGACTGTGGAAACTTTTTTTTTTTCTATTTGAGGTCTGCATTACTTGAGTCTTGTCTTACATGAAAAAAATTTTCCTCAAATATTGAAGAGATAAGATACCCTGTCAATCTGAAAATATGTGAAAGTACCATATTTTAAATAAACTTATGATAATTGTTGCCCAAGAATCTTTATCTTCCTTTGCCTTCTTATTTTTCTTGGTTGCTCCCCTCTCTCTTTGTCTCCCTTTCCTTTTCTTCCTCCCTTCCTCCTTCCCCCAAATCTTACAGAACCACTGAGAAGCTGACTTCTATCACCCATATCAAAATGTCCAAGATAATTTCTCACATCTCCACTTGTAGACTACCAACTTTCACATCCTCTGGTGAATTAGTCTTTTCAGTTTCAACAACATGAAGCTACGTTAATTATAAGTGACTGCAACATACCCTGCAGGGATGGTACCTTTCTCAGACAATGCATACTTAACATTTCATATGTTCAAGGGATGTAAAGTCTGGTTGTTTTTGTCAGAATGAAACCATCCATGATGACTCTTTAGCGTTTTTGTCTATTTTATTGATTTGGTTGTTTTGCCATTTATATCTGTAGCTTGAATTCCCACCCAGTTCCAGGAGGACAAGGGGCCATATTGTCCCCGAGGGTGGCTTCATGGTCCTCCTGCCTCAGCCTCCCAAGCTACTGTGATTACAAGCATGTACTTGTCCCTTCAGGTGCCCCTAGCACGGGCCCATGTGGGGACTTGGGAATAGTGCTGGCGTGCAAGGGGCCTGTTTTGCTTTTGCCTTTGCTTTGGGAATGCTCCTAATGGGAATGGGATGGCAGTGCCCAAGGGCCACTGCTGAGGGAAGTTGAAGGCTTGTTAGAATGAACTCTTAAACCCGCTGAGTGTGAGTGATTTTTGGGTTCGCCTAAAACAACCGAAAATCAACTAGGGTGCTAGCAGCTTGAGAGGGTACCTGGCTAAAAATGTCCAGAAGTGATGGACTTAACCTCTAGGTTCTAGAGCAGTCAAAGGGAACTTAGTTAACATTCTTGTTCAAGAAACTTAACTTAATTAAGTTCATAGAAAATAGGGAATAGGGGAAGAGGAAACAAGTCAAATCATTGACACATAAAAGTTTGGGGGCAGTTCTTTTCAAAACAAGCCAGATTTGCTGGCTTTAAAGATCTCCTCTGGCAGGAAATTGTTTTACTTTTTACTTTTTGGTGGTGAGAGGGATTGAACGCAGGACCTTACATATATAAGGCAGGCCATTCCACCACTGAGCTACATTCCCAGGCCCTGGAAAGCTTTTTTTTCTAAATCATCTTTTTCATTTTTCAGAAGACATGGCTATAGTATTATTGTGTATTCTCCTATAAATGTTATGCTATGCTTACATAGACTATATTGTACTGGACTTGTTTCGTTATTTTTGTTTTTGCATTCTTTCTTGATTCATTTTTGCAATATATGTTTGGAAGTAAATGATTTATTTCATTTAATGGATTATTTGGGATCTATGGTGAGATCTATATGACCCAACGGATAGTTTTGCCTGGTCTGGAAATATAATTTTTAGGTTTTATTATTAGCTCAAGCTACAAACAATCTGTATAAGGCATGTTGTAACTTTGTGGCCACTCCTTGATTCAAACATGTGCCCTCTGCTTGTTTTTCAGTACAGGGAGGAACTCAGGGCCTTAAGTGAGCTAGGCAAAAACTCTACCACTGAGCTATCTCCTCAGTCCTCACACTTTTTCTAATCATGTCCACTCTTTTAGTGTGTGGTCAAGAGAGGCATAGCCTTTCTCCTCTCCTCAGCAGCTTGTTCTTTCTCTGGTTATAAACAGAGTCAAATGAATACTCTCCTATTTGTCTGACCTTCAATGTTGCCACATGAAATTCAGAGATTCAAAATTAAAATGTAACACCAGGAACTGAAAAGAACACAGATAATAAATGGCAAAATACTGTATCAAAAAATGCTAACACAGAAAATTTTTATGTGGAATGTACCAGACTGTTAAACTGGAGCCTTGTTTTCTTGATTACTCTCCTGATTTTACTGTTCTCTAGCTAGGCTAAATTTTTTTTTTTTTAATCAGAGCCTTAGATACAAGACCTAAAACAATTCTATTTGATGAAAACAGTTGGACACGTGTTTGAGCCAAGTTATTTATTTTTTAAAAACGTGTTTAGTTGGTCAGAAACACTTGTCCTTTCCTTCAGAAACTCTGATGTATTTTTAGCCTTTCCTCCTAATTTTATGCATCCTTACCAAAAATAATTTTTTAACCAGCTTTTGAGTGCCAATGAATTAATTCGTTCCACAGCAACAAATAACAGCCCAAATAAACACAATCTTATTATTGAAGGATACAGAGTTGCCTTACTACAGTTTTGTGGCAATGCTGATCTGGAGCATTCTGCTCTTATAGGCCAAGTCCCTGCTTTGGAAATAGTGATTTTCCCCATCCTACTATGAAGGGTGTTACCCAAGTGGCAAAGATGCCTCTGCCATTTCACAACTGCCCACCTGGGCGTTTTGCCCTTTTCGAGGCATTGAAATCACCTGCTCAAGGTCGCGCTGCCAATCAGTACTGAATGCAATCAGCAACGCACGGCAGGGCTGCGCGGTTTACAGCCTGCCGGCGCTCGTCCTGATCCCGGTCACCTGGTGCCCAGCAATTTGCAACCGCTGGAGAATGCGCCCTCTCCCGACCGACCGCCAGCCGCAGCTGGGCTGGGAACTAACGCCCAGCTCCCCCGGCCGGCACCGTAGATACCGGAAGGAGGCGGGGCAGCTCACGGGCGCGCGCGCGGGTGGGGGACGGAGCGGGGCGCGGCTTATAAAAGCTGCGCGCGGCGGAAAGGGCGGGCCTGGGCACGAGCGGCTGAGTCGGCGGAGAGCCCAGCGCCGCAGACGCCGCGGGCCAGGACTGGGAGGGGAGAGGGAGGAGACAGGAGGAGGAGACGCGAGTGCGGGGTGGCGCCGGTCCACCTCCGCAGCTCGCCTGGCTCCCGCGGGCTTTCGAAGGCGGGCCCGGGCTGCGGCAGCGGCGGCCTTGTGGCCTGGGGAGGTGAAGCCGGGCTGCGGCGGCCTCGGTCGGCGCGGCGTGGGGAGGTGACCCTCCTGGCGAGGGTGGGCAGGTCCGGGTGGCAGCGACAAGGTGGAGGGGGGCTCGGCATCGCTGGGCGGGGTCCTCGAGGGCAGCGGCTCGTGCCTTTCTCCCCAGGTCGGCCTCCCCAGCGACCTTGCAGAAGTGGCCCCCAAGGGCTGTGGGCAGGGGGAGGGGTCTGTCCCTTCAGGGTGCTTGTGACCACTGGGTCTAGGTGCCCCTAGCGCGGGCCCATGTGGGGACTTGGGAATAGCGCTGGCGTGCCAGGGGCCTGTTTTGCCCTTGCTTTGGGGATGCTCCTAATGGGAATGGGATGGCAGTGCCCAAGGGCCACTGCTGAGGGAAGTTGAAGGCTTGTTAGAATGAACTCTTAAACCCGCTGAGTGTGAGTGATTTTTGGGTTCGCCTAAAACAACCGAAAATCAACTAGGGTGCTAGCAGCTTGAGAGGGTACCTGGCTAAAAATGTCCAGAAGTGATGGACTTAACCTCTAGGTTCTAGAGCAGTCAAAGGGAACTTAATTACCATTCTTGTTCAAGAAACTGCTGGTTCACTTGGCGAGTGAGTTTTAAGATTTAAATGTCATTCATATAAATGAGATTGGGGGCTGGGGATGAGAGATCAGATAAAGAGGTTTGAGTGGTTGCTTTAGATAAAGGTCCCAACGTGGAAAGCTTATTTGTGTGTGAATGTGAGAAATCATTTGATCACAGAATTATTCAGAATGTGATATGCCCTTAGTGGAGAGAGGAGCTTGGAAGCCATTGCTTATGGGTTCTTCTTCTGACCATGTGGAAAATCGAATTTCTGGAAATATCCCCTATATTGTAGATTTTGCCTAGGCCAGTGCTTGTCACTAATTACTTTAAAAATAATGGGATGGACGTCCAGTATCTGAAGCACCATTAGGTTCTGAATTCACTTCCGTGGAAGAGAATTTTAAGAAAGTGGGTCTAGACTTCCCTAGGGAAGTTAAAGCCTGGTTTATCCCTCTAGTTTACTTTTATTCTTAACTTCCCCCTCCCCCCTCCTTCAGCTTCATCTGTTTCAATGGTGCAACTCTCTCCATCCCCTTTTGGTTACCAGTCACCTTCAGGCCATTCAGAGGAGGGAAGAGAGGGGAATATGAAGTCAGCCAAGCCCCAAGTGAACCACAATCAGCACGGGGAAAGCCAGCGGGCCCTCAGCCCCCTGCAGTCTACTCTCAGTTCTGCTGCATCTCCTTCCCAGGCGTATGAGACCTATATTGATAATGGACTCATATGCCTTAAACACAAAATTAGAAACATCGAGAAAAAGAAGGTAACTTTTTTTTCCCCTCCCAGCCCTCTGTATGCATGATCTTAAACAAGGGTTAAAGAATTGACATTTTCTTTATGTCAAGAATCACAGATCTTCCTTCCTGAAGATTTAACCTTGGGATTTAGTCTGAGAACAATTTAAATAAGCAGGCTAAATATTGGATGTATTAAACCTTCTGTTTCTTTTTTCAACACAGCTGAATAACAGTATTCTTCATAGTAAAACTATTATGCATACTGCTCTTGAAATTCTTGAAGAGCTAGTTATTTTGGGGCAGATAATTTTTTTGAGTTACAGAATTAATGTTTCTTTTCAAGGATGAGTAAAAGCCTGCTTTTTTAGCTTGTTTTCCTTGTGACTTTCTGCAGCAGTTGATATTGCAGTATTGCTGCTGCAGTCATTGGAAGCTTTAACCATGGTAGAGCCAAAAAATATTTCAGCACTAATTTTTGTGTTTGCTTGGTGTTGGTTTAAGATTGGTAGGGGAAAGTATTGTGGACAGCCTTGTAAAAAGGTCCAGGGGTTATTATCAGCTTAAAGTTATAGTAAATGCTGATGTATCCAAATCATTTTCCATTTCCTGAGTCATGTAGCCTATGAAACAGTACTGAACGTTTCTTTGTTGTGTCATGATTCTCTTCTGATTTAGACGGTAAGGCTGAGTGGGTAACTATCTGGACCTACGTGTTTGTACATACTTTTATGTCAAGATCTAGTTAAACCTTAGGAAGCCTGCTTTGCTTTTTTTTTTTTTTTAGTTCGTTTTGTGGTACTGGGGATTGAACCCAGGGCCTCAGACATGCTAGGCAAGTGCTCTATCACTGAGCCATACCCCTAATCCTGGGAAGTTTCTTTCAATGCCCAGTTTTAACCAGATTTTAAAAATGTGGTTGACTTTATCTCCCCTCAACCTGTCTTTTCTTTTCACTCTTTCTTTCAGCTAGGAAGGTAGTAAAGAAGGGCCAGTTGCTAGTATCTTCACCATTTTTCTTTTGAATATATGCATTTGATCACAAGTGTGATAAGGTGAATTTGCCTGGGTCAGCACAAATTCCCTACCACTATGAGAACTAGTCAAAGTGGGACTATTAATGGAGATTCATTAATGGCTTTCCTCAGATAGAGAAACTACATATATGTAAACCTATATTCTCTAGCTTAACTACTATTCCTCTTTAATTTTGAATACCTGGAAGTACCAGTGCTTTCATTTCAAGCTTCTGGGAAAGCATTTTTAGACTCTAAAGCAATATAGGAGGAACCTGAGAAATGCTTGACAAATATACTGGGTTTATGTTATCATTATGGCACTGAAAATGCAATTTATTTTTCATGTATTTCTTTAAATAAAATATCAAGTTTAATATGAAAAATAATAAGTTGTGGCTACTATAACATTAGAAAGGAATTCTTTTACATTTGTGCTTCCTTTAGGAAACTGTCATATAATTCAGCAGGTAATTGAACTAATAAGTTTAATTATGAGGTTAGAGCAGAACTTGAAACCTTGACACCATTGATATTGATTTGTGCCAGATAATTTTTTTGTTGTGAGGGGCTATCCTGAGCATTATGGGTTGTTTAGTGACATTATTGGCCTCTAACAAAAGATGCTGGTCCACCTCACTCTTAACTCCCCAAGTTGTGATAACCCAAACTGTCTCCAGACATTGCCAGATGTCTCTGGAGGACAAAATTGCCCAAATGAACACCACATATGATTGACTAAGGTAAGTCTCTGTGCACTAAGTAGTCTAATTATAAATAGAAGTTTTAAGAGGAAAATGCTTTGAGTTGGTGCAGTGGCATGTGCCCTTAGTCCCAACAACTTGGGAAGCTGAAGCAGGAGAATTGTTTGAGGCCCTCCTGGGCAATATAGCAAGACCCCTGTCTTAAAAAGCTAGAGAGAAAGGGCTGGAGTTGTGGCTCAGTGCCTAGCATGTGTCAGGCAGTAGGTTTGGTTCTCAGCACTGCTTGTAAATAAATAAAATAAAGATCCATTGATAATTAAAAAAATTTTAAAAAAGCAAGAGAAAAGTATTGTACCTTTTTATTATAATTTTAGAATAATGTTGTTCTTTTTGAAAATATTAAATTCCTTCATTTAAAGGTCCTGGAAAATGAATTATTTATAACTAGCATACAGGCTCTAATAATAAATCTTAATTGCTAGATATGTAGACTGGTTAATAGGAGTGAACTTGGGCTAGCATGGAGTGGGCTACATGTGTTTTGCTAATCTGTCACATTTCTTCTCATATGAAAGCTTTGCCCATTACCTCCAATACTTTCATATTCTAATAATCTAGCACTGTAGCATCCTTTTAAATCCCCCTTTTTCAGCCTGGTGTGGTGGGTAATCCCGGTGGCTCAGGAGATTGAGGCAGGAAGATTGCAAGTTCAAAGTCAGTCTCAGGAATGGCAAGGCCCTAAGCAACTCAGTGAGACCTTGTCTTCTCTAAATAAAATACAAAATAGGGCTGGGGATGTGGCTCTTGGTTAAGTGCCCCTGGAAGTACTGGAAAAAAGAAAAAATCACCCTCCCCTTTTTTTTTTGCAATTCATTATGCTTCATACATCAAAAACATCTGACGTGTTTATAGATGCTCCCTTTGTGCCCAATTTTGGGAAACTTCTGTAGGTTCAGAGCAATTAAGTACTATGAAGACCTTACATTCTTTTATTTCTCTACATTTTGTATTGGTGTATATAGTTGTACATGAAGTAGGATTCGTTGTTACATGTTCATATAGGCACACAGTGTAACAATATAATTTGGCCAATATCATTCCTCAGTATTTCTCCTTTCTTTTCTAAGACCTTTCATTCTTTTTTTATTTTCTTGTACTGCAGATTGAATCCAGGGATGCTTAACCGCTAAGCTACATCCCCAGCCTGTTTTATTACTTTTTTAAAATTTGAGATAGGGTCTCACTAAATTGCTTAGGGCCTCACTAGGTTGCTGAGGCTGGCTTTGAACTTGTGATACTCCTACCTCAGACTCTAGAGTTGCTAAGATTACAGGCATGTGCCACCGTGCCTGGCAGACTTTATATTCTTAATGGATCTACAGTGGTCCTTCCCCCAAACTGGCCTTATCTGTTTGAAATTTTGTTACTCTTACACTGGGGCACTAAATCACCACAGATTCCATCAGTCACACAGCCAAAAATTTACTTTTGTGGAGCTCCTTCTTCAGAGATATTCATACACGTAGGGAACTCAACCACCTAACCCACTTCTTCCATTTGTAAAATGAGATACTACTACCTAACTCAGAGTTGTGAGAACTAAATGAATTTGAAGCAGCTGTCACACTGTCCTGTCACCACTCAGCACTGTTCCACTGCTCTAATTCCTGGGGTGCATAGTTATTACATGTAAGAATGTTTCACCTCAAGAGAGGCACTTTTCTATTGCAACGGTAGAAATAATTAAAATACCAGCATCAGAATATCCCATTTTCGGGGCTGGGGATGTGGCTCAAGCAGTAGCGCGCTCGCCTGGCATGCGTGCGGCCTGGGTTCGATCCTTAGCACCACATACAAACAAAGATGTTGTGTCTGCCGAAAACTAAAAAATAAATATTAAAAAATTCTGTCTCTCTCTCTAAAAAAAAAAAAAAAAAGAATATCCCATTTTCAATGGCTTATACCTATGGTATTTAAGTTGTACTTGGAGCTGAGGCTGTTCCATCTATGAGATATTGACCTAAAGTCAGCCAACATCAGGGTTTTGCTGCAGCAGTTGGACACAACAACACAAAAAAGTAGTGGGAAATCTCAGGGCTCAACTCTATGGAACAAAGGGTCTGGCTACACTGAAGCAGTGCAGAGACCAGAGTAATGTTATTCTATGTGCCCGCCCTCTCACGACTGGAACTCATTTAATTGCTCTCTGCCTATGGTAAAATGGAATTCTTGAGTATTGATTGCTTACTTCAAGAAACCTTTTGTTTTCAAAGGGAACAAAGTCTGATATTTATTTGCTTCAGGTTTTTTAAAAAATCATATTATAGTAGATACAAATTTCTCTTTTGCAGCTCAAACTGGAAGATTATAAAGATCGTCTGAAAAATGGAGAGCAACTTAATCCAGACCAGTTGGTAAGTGGCTTATGATTCTTTGTCAAACATACTGGTTTCTTAATAAAATTCTAGGTGGATTTAGTGAGACCAGAGGCTTAATAGATCAAAAGGAATTAGATGCATATTAGGTTAACAACAAATAATTGTGTATTTCAAAATAGCTAGTAGAGAGGATTTTGAATGTTCTCATCATAAGGAAATGATAAATATTCAAGGTGAAGGACATGCCAGTTACCCTGATATGATCATTACACATTGTATATATGTATTGAAATATCATACTCTATCCCACAAACATGTACAGTTACTATGTCAATTAAAGATAAAAAACAAGCCCTGAGTTTAGTTTTTAAAATTTGTAATATTTCATACAATGCAGAAACCAGGAAATATTTAAAAAGTTGTAGTTTTTCTTTCACCTCATCTTTTCACTGTTCAGTTCTCATGTTACGGTATACTCATTGTTATGTTCTTTCAGAATTTCTTTAAATTTATATAAATTTATAAAAAAGATTTATTTTTGCCTCCTATTTTTTAATAGACTTTAGTTTTGAACAATTTTAGGTTTATAGGGAAATTGAGCAGAAAATACAAGTTTCCATGTACCCCCTTGCCTACCCCCAGCCTCTTCCATTATAATGTCTCTCATCAAAGAGATGCATTTGTTACATTTGATAAATCTACATTGTCACATTATCATCAAAGTTCATTAGGGTTGATTTTTGGTGTTGCATATTCTTTTTCTTTGTTTGTTTTATTCTTTTTTTTGATTGGTGCTGGGGATGGAACCCAGTTTGCATGATAGGCCAGTGCTCTATCATTGAGGCATACCCCCAACCCCTTTGGTGTATTCTATGTATTTTGATAAATGCATCTACCGTTAGTGTCATTTAGAATAGTTTCACTGTCCTAAATCGTCTCTGTACTACACTTATTCATTCACTTAATTTTTTTTTTCATTGATTTTATGTGGCAGTAGTATCTCCATAATACACAGTCTTTAAAGTTTGGTTGAGCTCCTCTGTGAAACTATTTGAACTTTTTTTTTGAGGTGGGAATGGGAGCTCTTTGAAAATACTATTTTTTTTTCCTTTGAAAATTGATTTTGTTTAGATTTTTTCTTTTGGAAGCAACTTTCAAAACCTTTTTCTTGAAAATCACTTATTTACTTTTTAAAATTTATTTGCATAGATTGGAATGAAGTTGTCCCTTTAATAAAATTTCACTGCCTGCTTCTTTGGTTACTTTCTATTTATTTTTAATTTTTTGTATTTCTATTTCCTCAGTTTCTTCTTCTTTTTCTTTCTTTTTTTTTTAATCTTGAAAATTTTATTTTAACCTTTAAATATTTCTGCCAAGTAGGGCTTTCTTTCTTTTTTTTTTCCCACTGTGCAATCCACTTCAGTGCTAGCAGCCTACACAGGCAGACCTCAGTTTATTCTTAATGAAGCTAGCTCATGATAGGTGTGTGTTTGTATGTACACATGTATGTTTGCAGAAAAAGTGTGTATATATGTATCTATACGTACCACACACACACACACATACACACTATACTTTTTTTTTCCTTAAGAATTAGTTTTTGAATTTTTGTTTTAAATTTCACTTTTTGCCTTTTCTTTTCTCTTTTGATTTGTTTGCTACTTTTTCTAACATAAAAATTTTATTTGTAAAAATTCCTTGAGTGTGATTTTTCCATCAAGCACTGCTTTAGTGGTGTTAGGTATTGATATTGTATTTTTAATTGTGAGAAATTTGATAATTTTAGTTTGATTTTCTTCTTTAACCCAACAGACATTGGTAATATTGTAAATAAAGTTTTATTTTGTCTGTATGGCTCTTTTATCCACTTTGAAGTGGCAACTTTTCTTTTTTTTTTTTTTTTTGTCTGTATTGGGCACTCTACCACTGACCTACATCATCACCACCCCACACAACCACTAACAGCCCTATTTTATTTTGAGATAGGGTATTTAAGTTACTGAGGCTGGCCTGAACTTGTGATGCTCCTGCCTCAGCTATACAAATCACTGGGATTGCAGGTATGTGCCATGATGCCTGGCAAAGATAATGTCTTAATTGAGTTGATTTTAGAGTCCCATTTAAAACTACATGTTTTAGTTCAGATATAGATTTGAAATGGAGAACCAAGTTACAAGTGAGTTCTTTGGTTCTACAGAAGTTTTTGCCATTGAAGAATTAGGATTTGGTTTCTCTTACCGCTAAACTCTGATCCTGTGTTGTAATTAATGCACCTACTGATAAGCACATTAAATAATGTGCAATCTTCTGGACACAGTGGTCCATGCCTGTAGTCCCAGTGATTTGGGAGGCAGAGGTGGGAGGATTGCAAGTTTGAGTTCAGCCTGCCTATCTTAGTAAGACTCTGTCTCAAAATAAGGGGAAAAAAAGGGCTAAGGGTATATCTATATCAGTGGTTAAGTATCCCTGCATTCAATTCCCAGTACCACACAAAAAGGAAAAAAATAATATAGAATCTTCTTTCCTTCATCATTCCTCTTTTATTTGCCTAATCAAGGTAGGCCACTTGAACTGTCCATTATTTTTCTAACTATTAGCCTTTTCTTGGGACTTTAGTCCTATTGTCTCTTGTGTCCTTGTTGTGAAACAGAAATCTCAGTACAAAATTGATCTCTTTTTTTATACCTCATCCTCGCAAAACAAAAACCTTCCCCTGGTATTTCCAAGCTCATTAAATGGTTTTGCCAGCTATCCAACTGGGAAAGCCTGAAACCAATTTTGGCCCTAACCTCTGATTTTAATGTGCTTATGAGATATCATGGGGTATGTATGTATTTAAAAGTATATGACCTGGAGCATAAAGTTTAGTCTAGAGATTTATCACCTATATGGCTGCTAATAGAACCATAAGAGAAGATGAGACTATCTTGGGCAGGATTATAGAAAGCAGAATAGATACTGAGAACAGAGTCCTGAGGATCTGACATTTCATGTTTGGATAATAGCTTAAGATACAGTGAACTTATTAGGGCTCATGCATCATTTTGTGTGTTTTATAAGTACTAAGTCATTTAAATTCTACAGCATCTATGTGCAGTAGGTCTTATGCCTATCTTACAGGTACTCCAAACTGAAGTGAGAGAAGTTAATGGAAATATTGTTGGCAAATAAGCAGCTGGTAAATGGGAAAAAATAGAAGTTTATTATATGAGAAGCAAGGTGTTTATAAAGCAGGAGAGTGCCTTTTTGTTGAAGGCTGCTGAGAAATCAATCAAATGAGAATCATAAAAGACCCAAACCAGAGCTTTAAAGAATGGGATTGACATCGCCGACTTCAATTAGAACTGGTCTAGTGGAATGGTAGAAGCAGAATCTAGGCTGATGAGGTCTGAAAAGGAAATAGAGATCATCAGTTTGGAAATTTGTCTGAGACTGGAAAGAAGTAGTTGCCAGAGAGAAACTTTAAATTTTTCTTATTTGGGGATGACTTGAACTTTTTTTTTTTTTTTTTGTGCTGAGGATTGAACTCAGGGACTTGTGCACGTGAGGCAAGCATTCTACCAACTGAGCTATATCCCCAGCCCATGACGTGGACTTTTTAAATGCTGATTTAAAGCATCAACAGAGAGGGAGAAACTCTGTTAGAAAACTCTAAAGAGAGAATCACAGTACGGATTTCTTTGAAAGTAGAATTAAATATGATCCAAGGCACAGGTGGAGAGAATTTCTTCTACTCTGTAAGGAAAGGACTGGTGTACATTGGGTGATGGGAAGTCAGGTGGCTCAAAGCTAATACCATTTGGGAATGGATTTGAAGTATTCCTTTCTAGATTTATGTCCCTCTGAGAATTATATGCTATGGTTTTATTATCTGCCCATTCATGTTTCTATAGATGGGAGGCCACGTTATCTTTTCTATTATGAAACATGGTCCAAACAAAGTGTTGCATCAGAGTTATAATGCATAATAAAGCAAGCAGCAGAACCACCTCTCAACTGGAATAATACATTGTCAGTACTACTGAAGTTCTTACCCAGTATTTTTTCCTTCCTGTAACTGTGATCTTGAAACTCTCTCCCCACTTTTAATTTAATTTTTGTTTATTGCCCTTAAATCTGTGAGAGCTACTTTTTGTACCTTATAATCAGTGGTATCACACTATATATTCTGTAGTTTTCCTTTTTCACTCACTATATTTAGTATTTTTCTATCGATGCAAGTAACTGTATTTTATATTTTTCTCTTCTTAATAGTAATCTGTAAATAGATGTATTTTGAACAGTTCTTTCATCAATCTTATGTATATATGTTATTGAGACATGGGAGAAAGATTTTTTCTAGGGTATATACATATCATTGAGCTGTAAGGTTTGCCCATAGTTAACTTCATGGGTACAAATGTTAAACTGTCTCCCAAAATTATTGTACCAATTTTTACTAATATTGATGGTACAAGGAGTTATTAGTTTTCTATAACTTCATAGGAACTTAGTATTATCAGACTTTTCCCAACAGATTATTGAGGCATAAGATAAGTGTCACAAAATAAACTTATTACAATTGCACAATTCAGAGATTTATACTAAATTTGTGGAGTTACGCAATTATCACTACAGTCCAGTTTTAGAATATTTTACCCCCTGAAGTCCCCTTTTGTGTCCTGATTTGTTTCTGTTTCTATAAGCTTGTCTTTTGTGGACATTTCATATAAAATAAAGTCTTTTGCATTTGGCTTCTTTTACTTAGCCTAATGTTTTTCCATGTAATAGTATGTATAGTATAGTATTCCACTATAAGGCTACACACATTTTGTTTATCTGTTTATCAGTTGCTGGATATTTAGATTGTTTTTATTTTGGGCTATTAAGAGTAATTTTGTTATATAGATTCATACATCTTTTTGTGGACATGTTTTCATTTCTTTTGGGCAATATCTAGGGGTTCAATGCTATACTATTTTAATTACTGATAATTTATTTGTCTTTATCTGGTTTGGCAATTTCTCTAATTTTTGTGTGTGTTTCAATTGGCCCTTCTTTCATATAGATTCAAATTAAATTATCATGAATAAAGTCATTCTTTAAAATAAATTGTGTTCATTTGAGAAATCTTAAACTTGCTCCTTTGATTTCCTATAGGATATTGTTTGTCTATTAATAAATAATTGTTTATATGTATTTTCCACAATATCATAAATGTCTTGAGGTCGCTCATTGATTTCTGTGATGCTTACTGTGCTACTGTACATTTGATTGATGAATGAATATTTATAGGGAAATCCTATAGGCTCAGTGCTCTTAAAACCTGCAGGCCTCTCTAACCTTAAACTTCATAGATAGGGTAGAATTAGGGAGTCTGATTTCTAGTATAAAACTTGAATTTCTAGCATTAAAGTGGAATTTTTACATTTAACTTTATATTGCTTGTTATTTTTCCTTAGGTAAGTATTTTTCAATGTGTATATAGTAAATGGCTAGTTCCTGAAATCTTAAATCTCCTCTGCCGTATTTAAGGAACATTTATTTTTACATATTTGTACTTATATGGTCACAGAATTGATGTTTTCTTATCCTGTGTGGTAGGAAGCAGTAGAGAAATATGAAGAAGTGCTACATAATTTGGAATTTGCCAAGGAGCTTCAGAAAACCTTTTCTGGACTAAGTCAAGATGTGAGTATGTTTTTTTTTTTTTTTCTTTTCCTGAAATCAGTTTAACCACCTTGAAGAAATGTCAGTATCTAATAACAATGTTTGTTTATCATCCTTCTAATTTCTGCTGATATTATATTGGTATTAAAGATTGAGGATAGTTAATACTTTTTTAGATTTCTGGAATCTCAAGGGAACACAAATAGCACCTGAAATATGGGACACCGTAAATGAAGCATTGGTTATTTAATATTTTATTTCATCGTGGAATCACAGAAATCATTGAGAATAATTTTGACAAGTATATTGAAGATAATTTTTGAACATATGCCTATAAATTTACACAATATAGGCTTGTTAGTTGAACATTATTTAATAAAGGAGGAAATAGAGTTGGTACTCCTATTGAGCGCATGAAAATTATTATGGAAAATTTGTGATTCGTATTAAATTAAGTCTGGCCTTGTAATAGTTAAGTTCTCTATGTTGATAATACAAACTTTTCAAACTTTTATTTTTATTATTATTTTTTGTGGTGCTGGGAATTGAACTCAGGGCCTTGTGTGTGTGAGGTAAGCACTCTACCAACTGAGCTATGTCTCCAGCCCCTCAAACTTTTATTTCTGATGTATTTAGTAGTTAATATAAAGTTTTAAGCATTCCTTAATGAAATACTCTTCACTGTTTCAGGATTTTAGCATTAGAAGTTCCTTTAAAGGTCATGTTTCAACAATTGAGGAAATTAAAAAAAAAATTGATTCCATGGGGAGCGTGTCTTATAAATAGTCTCTATGTTTTTGATATTTTTCATTTTTAAAAATTTCTTTACTGTTCCTTTGGCATCGGGGAGGGCGGGGGAAGAAAGAAAAAGAAAAAGCCTTTGTCATTGTGAGATGAGCTCTGTCCTTGTCAGAGGGATTCATTATTCTAAGTCATGGTTCAGAAAATAAGTTGTCATTCACTACTATCGATTTGGAGTGGTTTATTTCGTATAAATTCTTTCTTTCCAAATTGGTCTTCAATTGGAAGATAAGGAAAATGTAACCTGACTTTTGAGTTTCCAATAAGAAGAAATACGCTGTCATTGGTTTTTCATATGACTGCACACTGTCACTTGAAGTCAGGTGTGAAATTTTCTGTTTATGCTGTCATGTTGCTGCTCAATAAATTTCAGATTTGGAGCTTTCAGATTTTGGATTTTTGAAAACCCCAAATTAAAGTATTTTTCTTAAAATATTTGGCCTTAAAAGGCTTGATATACATAATAATAAAAGGTAAAATCTGGGGCTGGGGTTGTGGCTCAGGGGTAGAATGCTTGCCTAGTATGTGTGAGGCACTGGGTTCTTAGCACTGAATATAAATAAATGAATAAAATAAAGGTACACTAACATCTAAAAAAATTTATATATATATAAAAAGTAAAATCTTGAAATAAGTATGGCTATCAGTGATTAGTATTTTAGTTTGTATCATGGTATTTTTAAAGACACCAGGTATATCCTGGAGTTGGAAGTCAGATATTTGGATTCCCTTGTCTCTGGTTACCTGAGACAAACCAGTGAGTTCTTTTTTGGTATGGGTATTGAACCCAGGGGTCTTAATCACTAAGCCACAGCTACGTCCTCAGCTCTTCTTATTTGTTTTGAGATAGGGTCTTACTAAGTTGCTTAGGGCCTTGCTGAGGCTGGCCTTGAACCTCAGCATCCCGAGTTGCTGGGTTTATAGGTGTGGGCCAGCACACCTGGCAGTGTGTTCTTTAACTGGAAAAGGAGATGGCTTAAGCAATAAGATTTATTATCTAATCTCAGCTATTTGGAATTATATCTTATAATCTATGAATAGCTAATGTGGGTGGTGGAGAGTTGTCATTCAGCATTTATTTTAACAGCTACTGAAAGCTCAGAAAAAGGCCCAAAGAAGGGAGCACATGCTAAAACTTGAGGCTGAGAAGAAAAAGCTTCGAACTATACTTCAAGTTCAGTATGTATTGCAGAATCTGACACAGGATCATGTACAAAAAGACTTCATAGGGGGCTTGAATGGTGCAGTGTATTTGCCTTCAAAAGAACTTGACTACCTCATTAAATTTTCAAAACTGACCTGCCCTGAAAGAAACGAAAGTCTGAGGTAAGCTAATGAAAAATTTTCCCGAAATAAGAGCCCCATAGCACTTTAGTATATATCAACGAAGAAAACATTAATTTGATCAAACATGGAAAACTTTGGCGTTTGATAGATTGTCCAGAAAAAAAGTTAGTTTGAATGTGTTAATGTGCTTTTTCATTGTAACAATGTTTAAAAAATGTCTGATCAAGTTTTAACCCCATACAATTATTAACCATGATACTAATTATAGACAGTTGAAAACTTTTTGTCTTTATCTTCTTATTCCTGCTGTACTTAAATAGAGGTAATAAAGTTTAACTTTGTCAGTATCATTGAACTTTAAAAATGAGACTTATTTGGCATGTTTTTATCCTGTGAGCAAACACATAGATCTGATAATGTAAGTTTTACAATCAACAAATTTGGGCTAATTTTTTCCTTATAGTTAGCCACTTACTATTTTTGTTTAAAGAGAGTAAATCAGTTAATAAATATATCTCTATGCTTTTGCTTTGTTAAATACATGTTGTCCCAACTTTGTGTTAGTCAGTCATGTTAAAGGAGAGTCAAATTTCATCTGTTACTAGAAATCAGCCTTATATCATGAAGGTGCCCAATAAAACTCTTAATTACCTGTAGATAGCTATTTATCTTTTTATTCCTATGTTGATAATTTACCTCATTATTACTGTTAGATTGCTTATTGCTACCTTCTCACTTTGGTGGGTCCAGGGAATGTAACATACGTAAGTATGTGAAATGTCAGCAAAATGTAATTTGAAAAATCAGCTGCTGTCTTTAAAGTTAAATGCAGCTTTTATTGACTCCAATTCATTTTTCTTTCATCTATGAAACTTGCTTTATAACTAATGATACCTCGTTGGCAGTCTTAAATTCTTTTGGTCTATTCTTTGATAGTCATATTTGGTAAAATATTTTTAGTTGATTTAAGAAAAAATTCTTATTTTTGAAATCTGTAAATGGGAATTTTACCCTTTTAAAATTTCACCCTTTATAAAAATTTCACTTTTCATTTCCAATGAGTAAAATGGACAATATTAACATTTGACTGTCTTGACTGTTAATGGATTATACTGCATGAATTGTACTGCTCCACATATATACATATGTGCTTCTAAAGCCACTTTGTTCTGCTGCTGCTTTTCCTTGTCAGTGTTGAAGACCAGATGGAACAGTCATCCTTGTACTTTTGGGACCTTTTGGAAGGTAGTGAGAAAGCAGTGGTAGGAACGACATGTGAGTTTTCTCTACTCTGGACTTATGCAGTAAATACTAAACTTTATGTCTAGAAGTTTAGTATGATATTGAGGGTCTAAGCTGTGTCAGTCCATCAGAACTTACATGTCTGACAATATTATATTCATTGAGAAAATAATCCCTTTGTTCAGTTCTGTTAAAAGCAGCTGTTATGTAGTCTTACTAAAGTGGAACTAAGGGAAAAGTTTGAAGTGGCAAAGCAATGTGATTTGAGAATAAAAGTTAAGTAATAGTGCTTGCTTCAATACTAGCTTGATTATTTTGGGGTTCAGTTCTCTATTCTGAGTGGAAGTACCTGTTCTATTTAAAAATCTTAAAACCTTGACATTAGTAATGCATGGATTTATCTACCAGATTGGCATAAGAAAATATGAATGGTTTGGTTAGTCTGTTGAAGCACTGTTTTTTATTGATTTGAAAATTATCTGGAGAGGGAGTGATTCCTTTTGGCTTCCTAAATATCTATTGGTCAAATGAACAAGCACAAATGGATACATGTGATGTACATATGTATGTAGTTCCCCCCCGCCCCCCCAAATCAAGGATATTTAACCACTGAGCTACATCCTCAACCCTTTGTATTTTTTATTTTGAGAAATAAAACAACTCACTAAGTTGCTTAGGGCCTCACTAAGTTGCTAAAGCTGGCTTTGAACTTGCAGTCCTCCTTGAACTTGCCTCTGCTTTCCAAGTTGCTGTGGCCACTATACCTGGCAGGACATAGCTTTTTATACTGGCTCAGAATAATGAAAACTTACTGGAAGCTAATAGACATTTTTGTTAATTGCTTAACATTTAAGTTAATTGCTTCCCTTTTTAAAAAAAAATCCAAGTACGTATAATTATTAAGATTTCTAACTCGAAGTTTAAGTCACAATTAAAAATTTATTTCTTGAGTGGGGTGTGGTGTCATGCACCTGTATTCCTGGCTACTCATGAGGCTGAGGTAGGAGGAATGCTTCAGTGTGGGAGTTCAAGGCCAGCCTGGGCAAAAGTGGGTTGCACTTACTGTATGACCAAACATTGATACTTCTAATACCCAAGATGAATGAAAACCTTATGTTCATATGAGTATTTGTGCATAAATGCTTATGCTAGCTTTATTCATAATAATCCCTCAGCCTAGATGTTCATCAGCTGATAAATCAATAAACAAAATATCTAGGGGCTGGGGATGTGGCTCAAGTGGTAGTGTGCTCGCCTGGCATGCGTGCGGCCTGGTTTCGATCCTCAGCACCACATACAAATAAAGATGTTGTGTCCGCTGAAAGCTAAAAAATAAATATTAAAAAAAAAATAAACAAAATATCTATACAGTGGAATCCACTCAGCAATTAAAGGGAATGAACTATTCATATGTGAAATATAGATGAATCTCAAAATAATTATGCTTAGTGAATGAAGCCAGACAATAAATGGGTACACATTATATGAGTTCATTTTTATGAAATTCTAGGAAAGACATAATTAGATAGGCTGTTGGTTGCTGGAGGTTGGGGAAGGGGAGTAATTGCAAAAGGGGCATAAGGAATTTTTTGGGTTTATGAAAATGCTTTATATCATGGTTCTAAAGGGTGGTAACATGACTATATATTTGGTAAAACTGTACTTAAGATAGGTGAATTTTGTTGTTTGTAAGCTATATCTCAAAGCTGATGAAAAAAGAAAAAGACAAAATCTATGTCATAGTTCTTCTATGAAAGGAATAATAGACCCAGATCAAGCATAGGAACTCTGCTTAGTTTGGGAATTATTTTTCTATTGGATATTTAAAATGAAATATTCTTTAGACCTATTTGTAGTGGGCAACTTTATCATATGATTAATGTGATGTGCTACAACATAACAGTAAAATCTTAATTATGGAATTTTATATTTTCATTAAGAGATCGTCCAATTATGGTTTTACATTGCTTATTTTTGAGGAACTGTCTTTTACTTCTCCAAAGCCTTAATGGGGAACACAAAGCAGTTGCTAGTTGCGATATCTTGGCGGGCAAATGGACTTGTCTCTCAGTTCAGGGAATGTGTGCATTTGTGACAGTAGAGTCTGATTAGGATCTCTAATTTTAAGTCATTTTTCATATGGTGGAAATGGAGGCCCAGAGAAACTTTAGTAATTTGCTGAACTTTGAGATTCTAATCTTTAACAATTATATTGATTCAGCATAAAATAGAGATGGGCTGCTTATTACTTTTTATTGGACTAATTCTTTGAGTATCTCTATGTTAACTTTTGTAATGATGTACTGTAACTTGGGTAAAATTAGGATTCCTATTCCTCATAATTTTCAATGAACTATTAGGTTATGTGATAACTAAGTCCTAATTAACTCTTTCTTAGACAAACACATGAAAGATCTACTGTCTAAATTGCTGAACTCAGGTTATTTCGAAAGCATCCCTGTTCCCAAAAATGCTAAGGAAAAAGAAGTATCCTTGGAGGAAGAAATTCTAATACAATCAGAAAAGAAAAATCAATTATTGAAGACTGAATCTATCAGAGAGTCAGGTTTGTTAAAAATCTCTGGAATTGTTTATTGGTTTATATATATATTATATACATATATACACATATTATATATATAATGGTTTATATATAAATATATATACACACACACACACACATATATATATATATATATAATTTTTTTTGTCTAGTTGGACATAATATCTTTATTTATTTATTTATATGTGGTACTGAGGATCAAACCCAGTGCCTCGCATGTGCTAGGTGAGCGCTCTACCGCTGAGCCCCAGCCCCAGCCCCTCTTTATTGGTTTCTTAACACTGCATTTAAAAAAAAAAATTTTTTTTTAAATGATTTGTCTTATTTTAATTCATTTGATTCTTTATGTATAGAATTCTTTTCTCCAGGTAAGCCTGAGTTTAGAAAACATCTCCAGCCTTTGTTGCCATGATTTATAGAGCAAACCTTAAGAGAAACATTAGGTTATATTTTGTTCCAAGAGAATATATTGGTTTAACCTCTCAGTTAAATTACTAGTAGGATAATTCTGCTTAAAATTGTGCCATAAATATAAGTTATAGTAGAATCCAATACTGAGGTAGAATGAAAATTTAAATAATCTAAAATCAAAATACTGATTTAGGAACAAAATTGCCAAAATTAAGAAAGACAATATACTTCTCAAATTATTTTCCTGAGAAAGAAAGATTTTCAAGAAGAAATTTGTTTTTGTTTGTTGAGGTTGAATTTATTAAAGTCTCTTTCAAGGAGGTAGTCCAGGTAGGGTTCTGGTGCCTACCAGTAAGAGTAAAGTTATTTTCAAAGTTTACTTCTCCTTACTTCTAAGACCAGTGTTTCAGTATCTCTCTTTTTTCGCTTCCTTCCTGACCTTAAACTGACTTGGAAGAGGTCTTTAAGGGCTCTTTTTCAAAGCTGAGATGACTAATTTTTATCACATAAGACCTGAACTATAATTCCAATTTAAATAAAGCTGTATTTTGGGTAGGAGGAGACAGTATTATTTTCAATCAGAAATAAATTTTTAGCTGCAACTTGACTTTAACAGAATGCTTTATATAGGAGAGCCACTAGCTTTAGTTAGAAACCACCCGCTGCTGTGTGTGTGTGTGTGTGGTTCGACCCAGGCATTACGTATACTAGGCAAGCATTCTACCACCGAGCTACATTCCCAGCCCCTCCACATGCTTTTGACCAATAAAGCAATAGTTAGAATCATTCGTACAATGAATGTACTTAATTGTACTATTCTTTTTCTGTTGTTCTTCTGAAGTCCTCTGAAATATGTTGCTGGAATGAATTACAGTTATAATAAGTTTAAAAACTTAGAATTACTTAGTATTTATTTAATATTCTTATTTAGTATTTATTTAACATTCTTTTATCTTCCCAGAGTCTCTCATGGAACTTGCACAGCCAGAGATACAACCACAGGAGGTAAGAGACTGAAAGATCATTTGCTGATGCTGTTTTTTCAGACTTTTGTATAGTGTTGTAGTTGTGAGCTGAGGCTCTGGAGCCAGACAGCCTGAGCTTGAATCCTAGCTCTGCGGATTATTAGCTTAGTGACTTGGGTAAGATTGTTGGCCCAGCTGTGTCCGTTATCCTCGTATGTAAAATATGGATAATAATAATGTTTGCCTCATGGGGTTATTGTGAGGATCAAAGGAGTTAAATTACTTAGAATTTGGCCTGACACACAATTAGTGCTGTTAACTGTTATTGATGTTTTTATTCTTGTGTTAGAATTTAAAGATGTATGGTATTATGCTCTCTCCAGAATTTACTCACATTGTTAGCAGAAAAGGGTATATTTTTTTCCCTCTTTTAGATGTGACATTGAAATTTGTGGGCCAAAAAGAGTGAGAGAAGAAAACATAGTATAATTGATATATGAAGGAAATAAAAGAAAAGGCTGGTAATACAGGAAATAGAGCTAAGCAGGTTTTCTTATATGAACTATTTAAATTAAGGGAGTCAAGTAGGTAGAAGGGTCCTAAGGCTGGCAGAGGTGAAATAGCTTTGGTTAAAGGGCCTAAATCAAACAGTTGTGGCACCACAATGGGTAGTTCTTACCAATCTTTTTTTTTTTTTGGTTGTGGATGGACACAGTACCCTCATTTGTTTATTTTTATGTGGCGTTGGGGATTGAACCCAGTGCCTCATGCATGCTAGGCAAGCGCTCTACCACCAAACCACAACCCTGGCCCTGTTCTTGCCAATAATAAGTGAGTCAAACATAAATAGCTGCTTTTGGAATATCAAAGTTTATATTTCTGTTAATTGAGGAAAAAGGAGTGAACAAAGAAGTAGGCCAGTCTTTTTAAGTAAGATAAGGACAGAAATTTCATATCAGCATGATGGTTCAGACCAGTGGATATGGGAATACTAGTAGATTTGAACATTGCTTTCAAGGTCTTAAATAAATTTATGACTCAAGCACATTATTTCTCTGGTTCAGTTTCTTAACAGACGCTATATGACTGAAGTGGATTATTCAGGCAAACAAGATGAAGAGCAATCTTGGGAAGCAGATTATGCTAGGAAACCAAATCTCCCCAAATGTTGGGATATGCTTACTGAACCAGATGGTCAAGAGAAGAAACAGAAATCCTTCAAGTCCTGGGAGTCTCCTGTTAAGCCACAGGAGACACCAAAGCCTGCAGTTTCCTTAGATCAGAGGAAACAAGAGATTCCAAAACTCAGGTCAACTTTGCAGGAAGAGCAGAAGCAGCTGGAGATCTCTAAATCCAAACCACCTTCCAGCCAGTGGAAGCAAGAAACTCCAAAGTCTAAAGCAGGATATATTCAAGAGGAGCAGAAGAAGCAGGAGACACCAAAGCCTTGGCCAGTTCAGCTGCATAAAGAACAGGATCCAAAGAAGCAAACTCCAAAGTCCTGGACACCTTCTGTGCAGAGTGACCAGAATGTCAGCAAGTCATGGTCCACTACCATGTGTGAAGAGCAGGATGCAAAACAGCCAGGGACTCCAAAATCTTGGGAAAGCAATGCTGAGAGTCAAAAACACTCTTTAACATCACAATCACAGATTTCTCCAAAGTCCTGGGGAGTAGCCACAGCAGGCCTCATACCAAATGACCAGCTCCTGCCCAGGAAGTTTAATACAGAATCCAAAGATGTGAGTAGATCTGCATATTGGCTCTGTCAGTGGAGGCATAAGGAATTGTAGTAATGATAATTTCTTTTAAAAACAAACCCCCTGTGAAATTAATTGAATACCCTTAACTCTTTAATGAGTTGATCTGTTATTTTTCCTAGGAGTCTAACTGAAGATGAAATTTCTACAATTATAAAATGTTAAGATTTAATGCCAATTTTTTGACCAGGTACAACACATATTTAATGAAAAGATATGAAGTACCTATATTAACATATTACCAAATATATTTCATAGAACCTTAATGAATTAAGGAAGTTGTTATTTCTAATTCAAATGTGAGGAAAATAAAACAAATAAAATTAATTGGGTTCTATGAGTCAAAAAATAAGTTACATAATTCAGATTTGAACCTCATTCACAGTGGATTTATAGTATTTCAATGTGGCTGAGCTATCAACACCTCTCTTAATGAAATTGAGGAATATATTTATTTTAATCCTGAACAATGATTTACTTAGGACAGTTTTATATAAGTAATACATAGTTTGTGACTGAACGTTTAAACTTAATTATGTACTGTAAGGCTCCAGTAGCGTCTAACTTCATGTGATATCTGAACAACTTCACATTATGTCTACTATACTTATCATAAATCTTGTCTTATTTATTTATTAATACAGGTTGATTGCTTTTTATTTGGTCTTTCTTGTGTGTGTGTGGGTACCAGGTATTGAACCCAGGGGCACTTAACCACCAAGCCATATCCTCAACTCTTTTTTTATGTTTTATTAAAGATGGTTTTGCTGAGTTTCTTAGGGCCTCGATAAATTGCTAAGGCTGGGTTTGAACTCTTGATCCTCTTGCCTCAGCCTGCTGAGTCACTGGGATTATAGGTGTAGGCCACTGTATCCGGCTACTCTTATTTTTTGATACATATTAATGTTGACTTTTTAATGGTACAGTATGACATCAGATAGTGGCTATTTCAGACAAGACCTTAATGTGAATAAGTGAGTAATATAAATACTTGTCACAGAATGGGAGACTTGTTACACTGTGTTTTATTTGTGGAGTTTTTCCACTGGGCACATGGGTGATCTTTTCTGACAGAAGTTACATTTTTCTGTAATTTTTCATTTGTAGCACTCAGACTAGCCTGAATTTTTATGAAGAAGAAGTGTGAGATACATGATGGTTACAGATATCCTGGTATTTGGGGAACTATTTGAGTTAGGCTTTTTTTTTTTAAGTTGTAGATGGACACACAATACCTTTATTTTATTTATTTTTATGTGGTGCTGAGGATCGAACCCAGTACTTCACATGTGTGAAGCAAGCGCTCTGCCACTGAGCCACAATCCCAGCCCCTGTTTGAGTTAGTTTTGTATTTTTGTTTCAAAATAATTTCCAGCGATAAGAAAATATAGGCATTAAATATTTTGTAGTTTTGAAAAAAGAAGGCCTCATTCTGTTAATGATAAATAACCTATTTCAGGAAGATGAGGCTAATAATGAATAATCCTTGGATACAGTCCCATGCTAATGTTGCCTGTTACTAAATTGCTCACTACTGTGGTGAACACAAACTTGTTACCACCTTGCTTTATAAGAAGTGTGAACTTATCCTCCCAATGTTCTCCGCCTCTGTGTAGTGGTCTTTCTTGTACTTCTGTGCCATTTTAGTCAAGGCTTTCCAATTAGTCTTTAGCCTTATACCTTAAAACATTTAGCTTGAAAAAAACCAAGCATTACATTTTATAAACAGTGAACTAACTACCTCTGCTACCTCTAGCTCGATTCTCTTATGGAAAGAGTTGGGTTACTTATCTTTTGCTCTCCTTTCCCTCTCTTTTCTAGGAGTATTAATATTGATTTTATCTTCTCTATAGAAAATTTGTAGCTGTATTTCATTAACCTGATATTATACAACAGTAACTGCAGTGTCATAACTATTTTGAGAAACATTTAAAAACCTAATTTAATACCTCCAGACAGCTGTTAAAAAAAAATCTAATGGGAAATTGGACTAGGTATAGCAATGCTGAACCTTTTCCATGACAGAATAGTGATAATGCATTGTTTGTTACATGCTTAGTTGGAAAGGTCAGAACTCACATGTGATTTGCTTTAATAGCATAGACAGCATTCTAGTGTAGTTTTAGTTTTTGTTTGTTTGTTTGTTTGTTTTTAAGTAACTGAGAGGATACTACTCTGTGTAGTGCAGATTTTGTCTGTCTTGTGATTTCAGCTGTCTAGAACATGACTAGGTATAGGCAAGGGCAAAATGAATTCAAAGCCAAAAGACTAGGTAACATGAAATTAATCACTAAAGCTCATATTTTTCTCCTGAAAGAGTTCTTTATTTATTTACTTATAGTCTATTAGCTTATCTGGTACCTTTGACAAGCACTCAGGTGACTTACAAGTTGGGGAAGAGATGCAGATGGAGCCTGTCATCCTAACATCTGTAAGGAGTAATTATAAATTGTAAATTAGGTCTAATTCAAAATGTACAGCAATTTTAGCTAATCACCTTTTAAACATCAGTAGCCCCAAAGTAACAAAATGTAATAATGTATTTCCTCAGTTCTAGGGTGCCTGTGTTTGTGTATATGTATTTGTATCTTAGTGTTTCTGAAATCAGATACATCTTAAAAATATTTAATGTAATAGTAGTAATTTTTTCCCCAGAGGGAAAAAAATCATTGGGATTTGTCAGTGGTATCCTTGTTAAGAGTATGTTCAGTGCAGAGAACATACTGATAACTATTGTCAGTAGTGAACATCTCTTAACAAGGAAGTTCTGTTATTCTAGGTCTTCCCTTTAGAAATAGGTTTTTAAAGAAAGATCTCCATTAAAGTTGTCATGAATGAGGGAAAATCATTTAAAGTTTGCTTACATTATTTAGAAAATGCATTTATATAGAAATTCTTTACTTGTAATAAATCTGATAAATGAACATTGCTGTTTGTTTTAATTTTATTAAAATATAGTGAGATCCTGAATAAGGCTGTTGACTTTGAATTTCTCTTATACGTAGTGGGTTTGTCTTATAGGTGCCTAAGCCCATGCCTCAGCCTGTAGGTTCTTCCTCTGCTCTTCCAAAGGATCCAGTATTGAGGAAAGAAAAACTGCAGGATCTGATGACCCAGATTCAAGGAACTTGTAACTTTATGCAAGTATGAGCCATTTTAAAAAAGAATCTTTGGTGGTATTCATGGGGCAGTTAACTTCTGATCTGAAGAATTACAGGGAAATTGTGGATTCTGCAGTCCAGAATGAGTGAGAGTCCTGGCTCTGCTGTCCTTTAGTTCTGAGGGCAAATTACTTGATTCTCTGCTTTGGTTTCTTTATTTGAAAAATGAAGATAATATTCCCTACTTCCTAAGTTTGTTGTGAGTAAAGAAATGAATTAGACATATAAAAAAAACTTCAAGTACTTATTACCGCTGTAGGTCACCAGTAGTTCCACTCAGGCTGTGAGAACCTGCTCCATGCTTGGTCTTCTGTTGGGTACTGCTGTATATAGAAAATGATAGGACATTTTTTGCCTTTGAGGAGTTTATATTTCCAGCTGTATAAGATTATAAACTTTGCTATATCAATAGTTGAATGCTAAATTATGAGATACAGAGTCTTACAGAATTTCATAATAGCATGATATTACTGAGGACTGAAGTAGTCAAATAAGGTATTTTTGTTTAGCAAAAAGATCTTGAGATTTGCATTTAGACCTGGGTTTAAATCTCAGTTCTACCACTTAAGACTTATATAATCCACGCAGGTTATTTAACTTCCAAACCTCTACTTATTTACAAAATTAAGGAATGGATTACCTCTGTGGATTATTTGAAAATAAAAGAACTAAAATGCTTACTACAAGTATGTAGTTTAAGTATGCAAAATGTGGGGAAATTTCTCTGAGATAACCAAGATATGTAGTGTAGGTAGGAAATGAGAATGGTTCTCATCACTAAAGTCTTTAACAACATGAGCTAGTAGGAGGTTGCGGTAAAATAATTAGACCCTCTCTAATTTGGGAATAATAAAAATGGGGGTACAGACTAGATTGATGCTTATGCTTAAAACAGGAGTGTCTTTCCCAAGTTAGGCCTTGTAATTGCTATCATAGTTTTTAACATTTGGCAGTTACATTAGAGTTGATTTTTGACTCTTAATTTCTTTTTTATGCTGAATTTTGAACATCTTGAGATGTTAATTAGCTAGATACCTATAGCTTTAGCTAATAAGCTATGGGCAATACCATGAATAATTTAATGGTAATATCTTTTAAATTAATGATCTTTGTTCCCTATGCATTATTTAAAATCTTATCTTCAGGAGTCTGTTCTGGATTTTGACAAACCTTCAAGTGCAATTCCATCATCACAGCCGCCTTCAGCTTCTCCAGGTAGCCCAGTAGGTATGTAATCATTCTAAAGACTCAGAACAAGGGCTTGGGTTGTGGCTCAGCGATAGAGTGCTTGCCTCGCACATGTAAGACCCTGGGTTCGATCCTCAGCACCACATAAAAATAAATAACAAAATAAAGATATTGTGTCTGTGTATAACTAAAAAAACACCACCACCAACAACAACAACAAAAAACTCAGAACAAACACCTTTAGAGCTCACAGTTATATCTCTTTACAAATCATTTGCTCTAGATAGCATAAGGGTTAATCTGAAATATGTCTCTAATAATTTATTCTAATTGTATCCTCTGCCATCAGAGTTATATAAGGATAAATTACCATTAGGACATTACTGTGCTTACCTGACCTGTTTGCATTTTGGGAGCAAGTTTTCAGATGGGTGAATGGAAATGCCCAATAGCTGGATTTTTTGGCGATATCTTATGTTCTTCTTGGAGTGATTTCTGACTAGAAACTGCTTGACTCTTTTGGACTCCAAATCTGGAGTTGGTGCTTTTGGATCCTAACTATGAGATCACCTGAGAGATGTTTAGAACAGTGACTAACACAGTAACTAATGATAGACCCCAAATGTAAATCTGGTCTGCTGCTTTAACAGGTAGCCTTTTTGGTTCATATTAGGTTCTGTCAGGTGAGGGGAGAATATAATCAAAGCCATATTCCAGCTGCAGTGGGCACTAGACACCAGCTCAAGATAGGGGCAGCAATTCCAGGGTGAAGTAAGGAGAATCAGTAGAAAGTAATTAACAATTGTGATAGACATTAACAAGAAACCAAAATGAAAACTACATGTTTGAAAAGCATATTATTATAACCAGCAAGAAAAATACCTAAACAGATGACCCAGCTAAGACTTATTTTGAAACCTGTGTTTTATTGGTTGTTTTGTAAAGTCTTAGTTCTTTTCTTTAGAAGCCTTGAAATGCTTATAACCCTTTAACCTTAAAATATCACCATGAAAAAGTATCACAGATGAAATTAGTATTTTCAGCTCTTCCCCACCTTCTCTGATTTTTTTTTTTTTTTTTTTTTTTTTTTTTTTGCATGTGGGGATGGAACCCAGGAGTTCTCGCCACTGATATACAACACATACCCCCAGCCCCTTTTATTTTTATTTTTGGGCAGGGTCTTGATAATTCGTTCAGGCTGGTCTTGAACTTGTGATGCTCTTGTTTTAGCCTTCTGAGTAGCTGGAATACCAAGCATGTGTCACTGTGCCCAGTTTCTCTGGCTCTTTTTAAAGTACTAATGAAGAGTGCATGATGGACTTAATACCTAGTTCTTCCAGCTAACGATTTTGCTGTAAAGTGTAAACTTTAGTTTCTTTCCAATTGCTATGCAGTAACTTTTCTCTCCTCCTCAATAATGGTTTATTTTACTCTCTGCAGTATCTACAGAACAAACTCTTTCCAGTCAAAGTGATTTTCTTCAAGAGCCATTACAGGTAATATCCTCAGATTACTCTTTTTTATTATTCAGGGAAGGACCTCTTGCTTTGGCAAGAAAGACCAGACTTATTAAGATACCTAACTAAATTGTTTAAAGTAGGGCTGGGGTTGTAGCTCAGTGGTAGAGCACTTGCCTAAATTGTTAAAAGTGTTTTAAGACTATCTAGTTTTTTTAGATTAAGCATACTGGTTCTAAAAAGATTCTCTGACTATGCTGAAAACATCTATTACAGTAGAGACAGTTGACTGATTTTGGTGAGTAAAGAACAACCCTGAAGAATTCAGGGGTACCTTGTCTAAGAATATTGTCTAAGAATTTTCTATTGAGCTATGCAAGTTACAGTTCATTAGCATAATAAAGGGTCTAAAGAAAGAAACTAATTTTGTTTAGTCCATGGTTAACCAGTCCGCCCCCCACAGCCCATAATAGTTCATTCTTTTCATTTTCACTGAGTACACTTAGAAGCACAAAGGAATTAGATTTTGAGATCCCTAATGTCAAGTTGCATTTCCATCAAAGGTAAGCCCAAACTTACTGGCCATTATTTTTGAAAACGTTTTCTCACTGTTTCTGTGAAAGCCTTATGACAATTTTCTTGACAGTAGCTCTTTTGACAGTAAGTTAAATATTTTGACTGGTTGGTTCAGCAGTTGTGATCTTCCCTTCTGAAATCCTCTGAGTAAATACCACTTGTTTATGGTGGTTTATATATAATTTGAAAAGGTGTGGCTTAGTTTTTGGGGTTGGGGTACGGGGGACTTAACCCATTGCCTTGTTCATGCTAGGCAAGCACTCTACCACTGGACTACATCTTGAGTCCTCAGTTTTTAAATTGTATTTGTTAAGCAAGGTATATCAGGGGGTTTTGCCCTATCTTTTCCACTTACGCTTTTACTAAAGTGGTTTTGTTTATCTTATCTAGCTGTTAGAATTCTACAAAACGCCTTCATTTGTCAAGTTAAATTCTTTTTGAATAACTACTGGTCTGTGTAGAAGTTCTCAGGTACAGGCCGACAGGATGGCTACATCAGAATTTCTGGTCACTCTAATAAAAATATGTATTTCTAGGTATAACTTTAAACCTGCTGGAGCATCATTTCCAGGGTTGCTATCTAAGCATTTATTTATTTTTTATTAAAGAATTTTTTTTATTGTACTGGGAATTGAACCCAGGGGTGCTTTACCACTGATCCAAAGCCTCCCCCCAATCCTTTTTTTTTTTTTTTTTTTTTTAATTTTGAGTTAGTTTCTTGCTGAGTTGCCAAGACTGGCCTTGAACTTGGAATACTCCTGTCTCAGCCTCCCAAGTAGTTGGGATTACAGGCACATGAGGCACCTGGCTAAGTATTTATCTTTTGAATATAACTCCCTGGTGAATCTGCATATCTGTATTTGGAACCACTCATCTCAAACATCATGTTTACTCACCAATATGTAATCTTCTTCCAGCTGGTTCACTTTTTAAAGAGTGGTAATTTGGAACAAGAGCTGCTATAACATGAATACAAGTGTAAAGAATATGTCTTTGCTGGGCTTGGTGGTGCACACCTATAATCCCAGCTACTTGGGAGGCTGAGGCAAGAGGGTCACAAGTCTGAGGCCAGCCTCAGCAATCTAACAAGACCCTGTCTGAAAATTTAAAGAATTAAAGGAAAGGGCTAGGATGTAGTTCAGTGTTAAGCACTGCTGGGTTCAATTCATAGTACTAGGGGAAAAAACATGTGTCTGTCTTTTTTGTTGTTAGGTAAACTTTTTCCCCCCCTTAAATCTCTTATGGTGCTAGGATTTGAACCCATTGGCACCCCACAATGGAGCTGTATCTCCATGTCTTGCTAAGTTTAATTTGCCAAGGCTGGTCTTAAACTTTTGATCCTTCTGCCTTAGCCTCCCTAGTCACTAGGATTATAAATATGTGCCATCATGCCTGGCTTCAAGTCTTTTAAAGTTTAACTACCAGGTGGTCCAAGAAGCTTTAATACTTAGCATCTGTGAAACCCTTTTGTTGAGAGAATTATGTCCTCACAACAGCCAGTTCTATTTATTTTTTTGCAGTTGTCTCATTATTTTAATAAGAAGCACAGAAAAAAAGTCAGTTTTTAAAAATATCTATAAAGTGTTTTATTTAGTACCTCTGTTTTTAACATACTTTGTGCACTTCTAAACATCTAAAATGACCAGATGTTTCAAATAAGGACTTAACGTTTGTAGATTTTATGCACAGTAATGCTGAATAAACTACACACATCCAGCAGTGGTTGTATCTAAATGTGTCTTCTAAATAGGAACATTCTGGCCTAGAATACTTAATTTCTTCCAGTTTCTTCTCTGCTATGTGTAACATAGATATGATGTTAAAATTTCCACTTCTGAAAGTCCTTTCAGAAGACAGAAGAAAGGCATAGTTTTAAAAGTGTTCAATCTCATATTCTAATATTTTAGTTGGATATAAATTATTCCTGTTCATGTTTATAAAATGTTGTACACGATTAAAAAATTATTTCCATGTGATCTTTTTTAAAACTTGGTCCCACACTCCTAAAGGAGCAGCATATCATGAAGGCCCCTTTGGAGGGTTGCAGCAGCATAACTTCTAATGTTTGGTTACCCCTCGTTAGTTTGCATTCATGTGTTTTATTACTTGAGCTTCTGAGAACCACATAGAAGCATTTAGATAAAATTATTGAATTTGTGGACGCTTTAGACCTTGCTTACTAGATTTTGGGAGGTATCTCTGATATATTCTAATAATTGCTGTGCCATAGATTTCCTTCCTAGCTACTCTCATAGTATTTTATTGGTTACAGTTGGTGCAGCCTTAGTTCCTGCTGTGCTATCTCACAATTTTTCTTTTATTCATGCTTTTAATTTAGTTTTGCACTAGAATTTTAGTGTTATTTTGATTTATGTGGAGCTTATCCCATTTATACTTCCAAATTCCTCTTTAATTCAGAAAGTACTTATAGAATAAAAGCCTAGTTTCGATGATCGCTGACAGTGCTGTGGCTGAAGAGTTCATGTGCCCGAGCTTACACCCTCAGTGAGCTGCTTTTTGAGACACTCAGTCTAGCCCTAGGCCTGGAGTTTGAATCTTAATTCCGCCACATAGTTTTTGTGTAATTTGGGAAAATCACTTCACTTTTCTTTGTCTCTGCCTGATTATCAATAGAATGGGGATAGTTGTACATATTTTACAGGGTTATTATTAGTATTAAATACTAATATGTGTGATGGGCTTAACATAATGCTTAACACTAGTGAGGGCTAGTAAGAGGAACATATTAGGAGACCTAGGGCCCAGGAAACAGAAAGTGAGCAAAATATGACTTTTTTTTTTTTTTACAGTATTTTATGTCTTCTTGTGTCTAGGCTACTGCTTCTCCAGTTACTTGTAGCTCAAATGCTTGCTTGGTTACTGCTGATCAGGCTTCAACGGGATCTGAAACAGAATTTGTGACCTCAGAGACTCCTGAGGTAATAAAAGGCTAATGGTCTTAAATTCTTTTCTTCCTAAAAGAATAGCAAAACTAGTTTATTTTATGAATTACAGGAATGATTAGTTGAATGATGTAATGTTTAATTTATTAAGGTATGACTTTATAGATGTTGTGGTCCTAGAACTTTTCTAGGTAACTTTACAGTGGCTTTGCCATATAGGTAAATTTAATAGTATATTGCCTTATCTTTTGTAATAAATATTGAATTTTTCATATAGAAAAGTAAAAAGTTTTAGGTAAGAGTAGGCCAGATTTCCCTAAGGAAAACCTGGACAAGTTTTTATTTTTTCATGACTGAAGACAATAATTTTTAGGATTAAGATTAATGCTAGCCCAGTGTGGCAGTTCTCACCTGTAATCCCAGTGGCTCAGGAGGCTGAGTCAGGAGAATCGAGAGTTCAAAGCCAGCTTCAGCAATGGCCAGGCGCTTTGCAACTCAGTGAGACCCTGTTTCTAAATAAAATACAAAAGTAGGATGCGGATGTGGCTCAGTGGTTGAGTGTCCCTGAGTTCAATCCCTAGTACCAAAAAAAAAAAAAAAAAAAAAATTAATGCTAATTCAAAAGCTGGGTATGGTAGTTCATGCCCGTAATCTCTGTGGCTCAGAAGGCTGAGGCAGGAGGTTTATAAGTTTAAAGCTTGCCTTAGTAGCTTAGTGAGGTCCTAAGCAACTTCATAAGATCCTGTCCAAAATAAAAAAAGTTAAAAGGGGCTGGGGATGTGGCTCAGTGGTTAAATGCCCCTGCGTTTAATTTCTGGAACAAAATCAAATAAAACTGATTAATGTTAGTTCAGTTGTGAGTTACTCTTTTGGCTTATTTGACAATATTAGGTTTTGTGCTTTCAGTTTTTGTTTTTTTTTTGGTGTGTGTGTGTGCGTGCGTGTGCGTGCGTGCGTGCCAGGAATTGAACCCAGAGGTGCTTAACCACTGAGCAACATTTCTAGTATTTTTTTTTTTCCTGGTACGGGGATTGAACTTGGGGTTGAACTCAGGAGCACTTGACCACTGAGATACATCCCGAGCCCTGTTTTGTGATTTACTTAGAAACAGGGTCTCACTGAGTTGCTTAGTGCCTCACTTTCACTGAGGCTGGCCTTGAACTTGTAATCCTCCTGCCTCAGCCTCCCCAGCTGCTGGGATTATAGGTGTGCACCAATAGCTACCACACCCTGCACCAGCACTTTTTTATATTTTATTTAGAGACATGGTCCTGCTGAGTTGCTTAGGGCCTTGCTAAGTTGTTGAGTCTGGCTTTGAACTCATGAACCTCCTGTTCAGCCTCTTGAGCTGCTGGGATTACAAACTGTTCTGAGTTATAGATTTTGATGTTTGAGCAAATCTTTGAGACAGACATAGCAGGATAAAATGAATTTTGAAGGACAATTTAACAACTATTAGTTTTATTTTGGGTGTGCTATTATATAGAAATATTCATTATACAATACAAGAAAACATAGAGGGGCTGAGGTTGTGGATCAGAGGTAGAGCTCTTGCCTGGCATGTGTGAAGCACTGGGTTTGATTCTAAGCACCACATAGGAAAAAAAAAAAAAAAAGTCCATTGATAACTTAAAAAAAAAAACTAAAAAAAAAAACCAAAACACACAATCATTAGTTTTTAGTTTTTTCAAAATATTTATTTTTTTTAGTTGTAGTTGAAAAAAAAAAACTTTATTTAATTTATTTTTTTATGTGGTGCTGAGGATTGAACCCAGAGCCATGCATGTGCTAGGTGAACACTCTACGACTGAGCCACAACCCCGGCCCCACAATCATTAGTTTTTATGGCGCTACCTTGGTCTAAATTGAGATTTGGTTCTTCATTTTAAAAAGATGGGGGAAGAAGCTGGGTGTGGTGGCAGATGCCTGTAATTTCAGTTGCTCAGGAGGCTGAGGCAGGAGGATCACAAGTTTCAGGCCAGCCTTAGCAATTTAGTGAGGTCTTGTCTCAAAATAAAAAAATTAAAAAGGCTGGGGGTGTGGCTCAATGGTTAAGAACCTCTGGGTTTGATTTCTAGTACTCAAAAAAAAAAAAAATAGTGGCAAATCAGTTGGATGTGGTGGTGGTGCACACCTGTAATCTCAACTACTTGGGAACTTGAGGCAGGAAGACCTCAAATTCAAGGCCAGCCTTGGCAACTTAGGGAAACCCTACCTTATAAAATACTAAAAGGACTGGGGATGTAGCTAAGTAGTAAAGAATCCCTGGGTTCAATCTCCAGTATTGAAAAAAAAGTAGATAGTGATTTTTACCAAGTGACCACAGGTATCTGCTTCATAACTAATTGGAATTGAGTTTTATTATCTATCTTTTTAAAATATTTTTAAGTTGTTGATAGACCTTTATTTATTTATATGTGGTGCTGAAAATTGAACCTAGTGCTTCACACATGCCAGGCAAGTGTACTACTGCTGAGCCCCAGCCCCAGCCTGGTTTTGCTATCTTTTTAGAAGTCTTCGTCTTCATAGTCTGTTATGTCAAGAACTAATTGTTTCCTTAAAGATTAATTAAAATAGGTCAGGATTGGCTTTCTTTTTTTAGTTAACTGATTCAGAAATCCACTAATAAGTCTTTAAAACAGAGAAAAATTAACACTAAAGAAGTAACCAAGATTTTTCTTAAGCTCAATTCCACTGTATAAATTTGGAATAACATTAGATTCTTAACTGGAAAATGGTATTTCAGGGTTCAGAAATGATTAGATGCTTGTAAAAAGGTCAGCCCCTCTTTTGTTAGACTGATTATCAGTAAGACTCTTTGACTTAGTCAGCAGGCTGTGCAAAGCAAATACTAGTGTGCATCCTCAGCAATTGAGATTTGAAATTGTAAGCAAAAGCTATTCTTTTGCATTCCTGTGTCCAAATGTCATCCTAAAGAACTTGCTGACTTGCGCCAGTTTGGGGTTTAGTGTAAGTGAACTGCTTGTTATATGGCAGGTGATTGGCTGATGTTGCATTTCTTCCCTGCAGGCAGCAGTTCCCCCAAGCAAGCCACCGTCTTCACTAGCTGCTCCAAGTCCTTCCATGGCAAAGGGTTCTGAACAGGGCTTCCAGTCACCTCCAGCAAGTACTAGTTCAATAACCATTAACACAGCACCCTTTCAAGCCATGCAGACAGTGAGTATGAACCGGGAATGATGATCACAGTTAATTATTCATTATTCTGCTTAAGAGTCTTTGTTTCTCTTACATCTATTATTAGTGCTATGTGAAAAGTTTGCCTTTTGTATTCTTATTTAGGTGGTTAGAATTTACATTTGTCTAGTTGACATACTGTTTTTGACAGAGGAGTATTAAATCCCCAGTCCCTAGAATTTTGAATGGGTCTTTTATCAGAGCATTGTTCCCACTCTGAAAACTAGCAGGCAAAGCTGAAGGCCTATATCAGACAAATAAAATATGTGGTTGATTCAGTACCCTGCACAGCAAAAAAGGGATGAAAATGTGTAGGTGAAAAACGTCTGTTTCTAGGAACAGCTTAATAATACTAATCATTACTAAAAGGGTACTAGCAATGTTCTTAGCATTAGTAACCTGAAACTCAGGGCACAGACTTGCTTAGCACCTCACTTCGTTATTGGAGATTTCATTTGGTTTCATCCTGGTCTCATGCTTGTTCGTAGAGATTTATTCAGATTTGTTTGGTGTTCTGAATTATGTATTTCTTTACAAATTATAGTTTTAAACTTTATTTATTTATTTATTTATCATGCTGGGGATTGAACCCAGGGGCACTTTACAACTGAGCTACATCCCCAACCATTTTTTATTTTTTTGAGACAGGTTCTTGCTAAGTTGTCGATGCTGACCTCAAACTTGTGATCCTCCTTCCTTAACTTCCTGATTTGTTGGGATTATGGGTGTGTGCTACCATGTCTGGCTTAAAACTTTTTTTCTCTTTTTTTAATGATAATATTGCAGTTAGATTTCTACATTTATTCTCTAAACACAGTAGCATGAAACAGTCTGTAGGGGTGTTAGTGAGCCTAATTGGCTCAGTGTTCCACTCCAGCTCCTTTGGAGTGATGATGGGGTGTGTGTGTGTGGGGGGGGGCCCTTGGAGTGGCAATGGGAAGCAGGCACAATGTAGGGATAGGCTGGTGAAGTTCAACACCCGAATTCACCAATCTTTTCACTCTGTGCTTAAGCAATTAGAATATCTTAGTTTCCTTGCTTTTCCTCTTTCCCTGTCAGTCCATCCTACACAGTTTTGCCACATTGGGTTTACTTTTTCTTTTGCCTAATTGAAAGCAAGCAGTGGTCCATTACAGAATGAAATTGAGTCTTTTGCCTGACACTCAATACCTTTGTAGTCTTGTATAACTTGTCAAACCAGTCCCCTAATGGGCTTGGCTTGCTCATTGTTGGCACAGTACCTATTTGCTCATGCCTCTGTGTTCTGCCTGTTTTGAAGCCTTTCAAGTTCAGATCAGTTCTCATTTATTCATTCATTAGACATGTAGTTATGAAGCCAGATCAAAATCACTGGGATTATAGCAATTAAAAATAGGTCTTTTCTCAAGAAGTTTGCATTTTTATTATTGCAAATTAAATAATAATTTATTATATTATTATTACTAGAAGTGGGAGATTTAGAAAGACAAATATATATATTATCAGATGCCATGTAATATAAGGAAAAATGGAGCAAGGTAAGAAAGCCAAGGTAACAGAAATGTTCTTTTGTAAATTATGACCAGGTTCTGGAAGGTTATTGCTTGCCACATAGTAAAAATTCAGGAAGTAATAAATTATTTTAGTTTTTTAAAAAGGATCCTTTTCCTCTATAGGTTTAATGCAATGCCAATCAAAATCCCAACGGCATTTCTTGTAGAAATAGAGAAAGCAATCATGAAATTCATATGGAAAAATAAAAGACCCAGAATAGCAAAAACAATGCTAAGCAGGAAGTGTGAATCAGGCGGTATAGCGATACCAGACTTCAAACTATACTACAGAGCAATAGTAACAAAAACAGCATGGTACTGGTACCAAAACAGGCGGGTGGACCAATGGTACAGAATAGAGGACACAGAAACCAATCCACAAAACTACAACTATCTTATATTTGATAAAGGGGCTAAAAGCATGCAATGGAGGAAGGATAGCATCTTCAACAAATGGTGCTGGGAAAACTGGAAATCCATATGCAACAAAATGAAACTGAATCCCTTTCTCTCACCATGCACCAAAGTTAACTCAAAATGGATCAAGGAGCTTGATATCAAATCAGAGACACGCCGTCTGATAGAAGAAAAAGTTGGCTACGATCTACATTCGGTGGGGTCGGGCTCCAAATTCCTCAATAGGACACCCATAGCACAAGAGTTAATAACTAGAATCAACAAATGGGACTTACTCAAACTAAAAAGTTTTTTCTCAGCAAAAGAAACAATAAGAGAGGTAAATAGGGAGCCTACATCCTGGGAACAAATCTTTACTCCTCACACTTCAGATAGAGCCCTAATATCCAGAGTATACAAAGAACTCAAAAAATTAGACAATAAGAAAACAAATAACCCAATCAACAAATGGGCCAAGGACCTGAACAGACACTTCTCAGAGGAGGACATACAATCAATCAACAAGTACATGAAAAAATGCTCACCATCTCTAGCTGTCAGAGAAATGCAAATCAAAACCACCCTAAGATACCATCTCACTCCAGTAAGATTGGCAGCCATTATGAAGTCAAACAACAACAAGTGCTGGCGAGGATGTGGGGAAAAGGGTACACTTGTACATTGCTGGTGGGACTGCAAATTGGTGCAGCCAATTTGGAAAGCAGTATGGAGATTTCTTGGAAAGCTGGGAATGGAACCACCATTTGACCCAGCTATTCCCCTTCTCGGTCTATTCCCTGAAGACCTAAAAAGAGCATGCTGCAGGGACACTGCTACATCGATGTTCATAGCAGCACAATTCACAATAGCAAGACTGTGGAACCAACCTAGATGCCCTTCAATAGACGAATGGATAAAAAAAATGTGGCATTTATACACAATGGAGTATTACTCTGCATTAAAAAATGACAAAATCATAGAATTTACAGGGAAATGGATGGCATTAGAGCAGATTATGCTAAGTGAAGCTAGCCAATCCCTAAAAAACAAATGCCAAATGTCTTCTTTGATATAAGGAGAGTAACTAAGAACAGAGTAGGGACGAAGAGCATGAGAAGAAGATTAACATTAAACAGGGATGAGAGGTGGGAGAGAGAAGGGAAATTGCATGGAAATGGAAGGAGACCCTCAGGGTTATACAAAAGTACATACAAGAGGAAGTGAGGGGAAAGGGAAAAATAATACAAGGGGGAGAAATGAATTACAGTAGAGGGGGTAGAGAGAAGAGGGGAGGGGAGGGGAAGGGAGTGGGGATAGTAGAGGATAGGAAAGGCAGCAGAATACAACAGACACTAGTATGGCAATATGTAAATCAATGGAAGTGTAACTGATGTGATTCTGCAATCTGTATACGGGGTAAAAATGGGGTTCATAACCCACTTGAATCAAAGTGTGAAATATGATATATCAAGAACTATGTAATGTTTTGAACAACCAACAATAAAAATTAAAAAAAAAAATAAACAGGATCCCTTTCTTCTATATAACTTTTATTCTCAGTAAGCCTTATTATGATAGCTTAATAGGACGTTTAACATTTACTCTTTGGTGTCAGTTCTGTCTGGAATTAAATGGAATTTAATTTACCATTATAATAATTTTAAAGTGTGTAATTCAGTGGCATTAAATACATTCATATTGTGTGTAACCCTCTCTACTATTTTCAAAACTTTTTTCATGATACCAAACAGAAACATTGTACTCATTAAGTAGTAAGTTGTTATTCCTCCCCCTCCCCAGCCTGTGGTAACCTCTATTCCATGTTCTATATCAATAAATTTACCTATTCTAGGTACCTCACATAAGTGAAATCATGCAATACTTGTTCTTTTGTATCTGGCTTCTTTCACTTTGTGTAGTACTTCAAGGTTCATGCATCAGATTCTCATTCCTTCCTCTGGTTAAAGAACATTTCATTTTATGTATATATCTTGTTTATTCATTCATCTGTTGGCGGGCTCTTGGGTTGTTTCTACCTTTTGTCAGTTATGAATAATGTTGCTAAATACACAGGTCTACAAATATCTATTCCAGTCCATGCTTTAGTTATTTTGGGTGCATACCTAGAAGTGAAGTTGGTGGATCATATGGTTGTTTATGTTTCACTTTTTGAGGAACCATTGTAATGTTTTTCATGACTGCATCATTTTACATTCCCACAAGCAATGTATGTTCTCCACATCCTTGATACCACTTGTGTTTTGTCTTTTGATAATAGCTGTCCTAATGGGTATGAAGTGGCATCTTATTATGGTTTACATTTTCCTCATGACTAAGTGTGTTGATTATGTTTTCATGTGCTTATTTGTCTTCTTTGGAGAAATGTCTATTCAAGTCCTTTATACAAATAGAAATATCAAAATATTGTAGTTTGATGAATGCTATCCTTAGGTATTTCCTATAAACATTCACAAATGGCCTTATTTACCCTTATCTTTTAAGGTATTTAATGTTAATGCACCTCTGCCTCCACGGAAAGAACAGGAAATTAAAGAATCCCCTTATACACCTGGCTACAATCAAAGTTTTACTACAGCAAGTACACAAACGCCACCCCAGTGCCAACTGCCAGCAATACATGTAGAACCAACTGGCATGTCTCAAGAAACTGGTAAGATCTTTGCATATATTTTGAAGATTTTGGTAACAGGTAATTAAATGGAAAGGAAGTCTGTAGTGACACTCAAGACGTTCTTTCTTGTCCAATAAACCTTTCTAAAGTGTTGAGAAGCACTGAGTGTCTTTGTTTCTCTTTAGTTAAGTTCACCTGTTAATTTGAACTTTTATAGAGAGGCAGAACTTTGATGGCTGATTTAACCTTGTAGGGTTGTGTTTTTTAAAATCTAATTGCTTTGAGCACTCCACTGAGGTAGATAGGGTACTTTCTGACTGTGTGAAGATTCCCCCCCACCCCCCGACCTTGGTACCAGGGATAGCCACTGAACCATATCCCCAGCTCTTTTTTTCATATTTTATTTTGATAAAGGGCCTTGTTAAATTGCTGAGACTGGCCTTGAACTTACAATCCTCCTGCCTCAGCCTCCCAAGCAGCTGGGATTACAGGTGTGTGCTACCATATGCAGTGCACGAAGATTTTGAAACCATTGTGTTAACCCTTTGTCTGTGGTGAAAAAATTATCTGGCCTTTCCCTCTCTTACATACAACATTGATTAATGTGAAGATATAACTTAGTATGCTTATTATACTGTTAACAGAGAAAGAAGAATATTTTGATCTTTTATGCTACTTTAAATTATGAAATAGGCAACTTTGTACTTATTTCTTAAAGGAGCTCTTGTAGATTTTCAGTGTTGGTATTTCAACTCCTTGTTCACTTTTCTGAAACTTAATGTCTGAGCAAGTGAACTGAGCATTTTTTTTCTTCCATATTGGGGATTAAACCATGGCCTCACTCATGCTAGGCAAGTGCTCTACTGCTGAGTTACATCCCCGGCTGTTTTTATTTTATATTTTGAGACGGGGGCTCACTAAGTTGCCCAGACTAGCCTTGAATTTGTGATCCTCCTGCTTCAGCCTCCTGTTTAGCTGGGATTACAGGTGTGTGCCAACATGCCCAGCTTGTTGGTACTTTTCAATAAAATGGTAAAGAGATAGTAATTATAAATCTCTAACCACAGGGACCTCATTCTGTTCTCACCTATTTTGTTGAAATATAGGGCAGGTGATCTACATAAATAATATTTTGTCATATGCTTTTTCAATTATGAATTCTATGAATTAGGACTAATTTTCTTCTACTCCCTGGCCTGAAAGGTTAGCTTATTATTTTTAAAATCATGGTAAAATATACATAACATGAACCTGACTATTCTAACCATTTTTAAAGTGTACAGCTAAGTGACATTAACTGCATTTGTGTTGTGCAGCCATCACCATAATCCATCTCTAAAACTTTGTCTTTCCCAACTGAAACTAGAATCATTTAACATGAACTCCCTCTTCTCCTCCCTCTCCAGCTCATGACAACCACTATTTTACTTTTGTGTCTTTATGAATTTAACTACTTTAGCTTCCTGTTATATTATTCAATATTTGTCCTTTGGAAGTGGCTTTTTTCACTTAGTATAATTTTTTTCACAGTTCATTGATGTTGTAGCATGTGTCAAATTTCTTTCATTTATAAGAAATAATAAATCATACTCATTTCTCTCATATACACACACAAAAATCACTTTTTTGCAATTTATTTATTTTTAAAATTTATTTATTCATTCACTTATTTATTTATTTATTTATTTTTATTGTTCCTAAGAAAGCCTTTATTGTCTTGTGCAAAACTGATACATGTTCAAAACATTACATTTTGGAAAGTGTCTCAGTTTAATATCAATTGATATATTCCAAGTAAGCAACATTACAGAAGGCCAGTGCTTGCTGAGTTCATTAAAATTCTCATTTTTGCCTTTTCTTTATAATTCACCATTTGGTAAATTAGAAAAAAATTGATATGCACTAGAGACTATAAAGGTCTATATATTTTTTTTTATTGGTTGTTCAAAACATTACAAAGCTCTTAACATATCATATTTCATTCATTTGCTTCAAGTGGGTTTTGAACTCCCAATTTTACCCCAAATACAGATTGCAGAATCACGTCGGTTACACATCTACATTTTTACATAATGCCCTATTAGTAACTGTTGTATTCTGCTACCTTTCCTATCCTCTACTATCTTTAATGTGCTGAGGATAGAATCCAGTGCCTCACACATGTTAGGCAAGCACTCTACCACTGAGCCACACCTCAGCCCCTGCAATTTATTTTTATTTGTTCTAATTAGTTATACATGACAGTAGAATGCATTTTAACACATTATACACAAATGGAGCATAACTTCTCATTCCTCTTGCTGTAGAGGTGCTGAGTCACAGCAGTAGTGTAATCATACATGTATATCAGGTAATAATGTTTGTCTCCTTCTACTGTCTTTCCCATCCCCAATGCCCCACCCCTCTTCTCACTCCCTTCTGCACAATCTAAAGTTCCTTCATTCTTCCCTAAACTCACCCCCACCCACTATGGACCAGCATCTGCTTATCAGAAAATATTTAGGCTTTGTTTTTTTGCAATTGGCTCAATTCACTTAGTGTGATATTCCCTACTTCCATCCATTTACCTGCAAATGCCATAATTTCATTCTTCTTTAAGGCTGAGTAAAATTCATTGTGTATAAATGCCACATTTTCTTTATTCATCTGTTGAAGGGCATCTAGGTTGGTTCCACAGTTTAGCTATTGTGAATTGAGCTGCTATAAACATTGATGTGGCTATGTCACTGTAGTATGCTGATTTTTAAGTCCTTTTGGTATAAACCAAGGAATGGGATAGCTGGGTCAAATGGTGGTTACATTCCCAGTTTTCTGAGGAATCTCTATAACACTTTCCAGAGTGGTTGCACCAATTTGCAGTCCCACCAGCAATGCATGAGTGTTCCTTTTCCCCAACATCCTCACCAACACTTATTATTGCTTATATTCTTGATAATTGCCATTCTGACTGGAGTGAGATGAAATTTAGAGTAGTTTTGATTTGCATTTCTCTAATTGCTAGAGATGATGAACATTTTTTCATGTTTGTTGATTGATTATGTTTCTTCTTCTCTGAAGTGTCTGTTCAGCTCCTTAGCCCATTTGGGTTATTTGTTGTTTGGGAGTTAAGTTTTTTGAGTTCTTTATATATCCTGGAGATTAGTGCTCTATCTGAGGTACATGTGGTAAAGATTTTCTCCCATTCTGTAGGCTCTCTCTTCACATTATTGATTGAATCCATCCCATTTATTGATTTTTTTTTTTTTAATTTTACTTTTTGTGCTTCAGGAGTCTTGTTAAGGAAGTCAGATCCTAAGCTGACATGATGAAGATTTGGGCCTACTCTTTTTTCTATTAGGTGCAGGATTTCTGTTCTAGTGTCTCTCTTTGATCCATTTTGAGTTGGTTTTTGTGCAGGGTGAGATAGAGTTTTAATTTAATTTTGCTACATAGGGATTTCTAGTTTTCCCAACACCATTTGTTGAATAGACTGTCTTTTCTCCAATGTATGTTTTTTGGCACCTTTGTATAAGATAACTGGATTTATGGGAGATTGTCTTTGTGTGTTCTGTTTTGTACCATTGGTCTACATTTCTATTTTGGTGCCAATACCATGCCATTTTTGTTACTGTTCCTCTATAGTATAGTTTAAGCTCTGGTATTGTGATGCCTCCTGATTCACTCTTCCTGCTAAGATGCTTTGGCTATTCTGGGTTTTTTTTTCCTTTCTCCCAAATGAATTTCAATTGTTCTGTGAAGAATATCATTGGGATTTTAATAGGAATTGCATTAAATGTGTATAATGCTTTTGGTAGTATGGCCATTTTTAAAACATTTTTTTGCAGTTGTGTATGGACAGCATACTTTTATTTTATTTGTTTATTTTTATCGAACCCAGTGCCCCACACATGCTAGGCAAGTGCTCTGTCACTAAGCTACAGCCCCAGCCCATGGCCATTTTGAAAATATTAATTCTGCCTATCCAAGAGCATGGGAGATCTTTCCATCTTCTAAGGTCTTCTTCAATTTCTTTCTTTAGTGTTCTGTAGTTTTCATTGTAGAGGTCTTTTACCTCTTTTGTTAGATTGATTTCCAAGTATTTTTTTTTTTTTTTGAGGCTATTATGAATGGGTAGTTTTCCTAGTTTCTCTTGTAGTGGCTTCATCACTTAAATCATTTTCTTTTTAAAGGGAGAAAATATATTAAAGGTTTTGATTATTGATTTTTTTTACATATAAAGTGTATCTGACCTTTATTACCATTTAACTCTTAACTGTTTCCTTAAGCTTCAAATTATCATCCTGATGGAACTGTTCAAGTAAGCAATGGTAGCCTTGCCTTTTACCCAGCACAGACGAATGTATTTCCCAGACCTGCTCAGCCATTTGTCAACAGCCGGGGATCTGTGAGAGGATGTACTCGTGGTGGGAGATTACTGACCAATTCATATAGGTCCCCTGGTAGTTATAAAGGTATGCTGTGAATCAACTTTAATTGTACTGAATTATTTTGTCTGTATATTTACCTGGCTCAATCCGTTTTTACCTTTTTCTGTTTTGTCATTGCCATTTGTAATGAAATGGGGGTCTTCTACATAGTATGCCTGCTCTCTATAACAGAACTACCTTTTTGAAGAACAGATTAATCCTGCTGCTTACTAAATAGAATGGTCAATCTTGTTTTTCTAGGGATAAGTTTGGCTTTTGTATTTGAATAGTTTCTTTTTCTGTTAACTTTGTCAAAAAATATGTCACAATTAGATAATATCTATTTTCTAATTATTTGTCTAATCCTACTACACACAGGAACACAGAATTTGAAACTATGATAGTGATATTAAGTTTTAGTTATGATCCCAAGTATTTTAATTACTGCTTAGTATTAGCAAAATATTCAAGACAGAAGCCTCAAGTACCCCTAATTGCCCTACCACCACTTTTTCCTATACCCTACCTGTATTCCAGTGGCAGCAAATTTCTAAACTGGGCTTGTTTAAAGTCAGTGATATTTTATAAATGTATTTTTACTGTGGGAGCAATTTTAATGTCTTTGCTTAAAGAGGTAATGATGGCTTTACAGGGTCAGTTTATCTTTTGCAGTGGTATAGTTTAATATGCTTTTTTCACTCATTTTTTTGTTGATGCATTATAATATAACAGATTTGTTACATATTTGTATGTGCACATTAATTTAGTATGCTTTATTCATTGGTTTATTGTTTGTTTATTTGTTAGGTTTTGATACTTACAGAGGACCACCTTCAATTTCCAATGGAAATTATAGCCAGCTGCAGTTCCAAGCTAGAGAATATCCTGGAACACCTTACTCCCAAAGGGTAAGTAAGACTAGTTGTTATAGTTGAATAGAATTACAGTTGTTGGTGTTAAGCTGGTGATTAAACTATAACAGTAATAATCTGTTTTGTACAAGTGTGTTCTTAGCTCTAGAACTATTTTAAGTCCTATGGAGTGTTGATTTGGAAGCTTTCCCAGTCACCCAAGGAAGATAAATGTCAGCTACTGGTTATTTGGAATTTAAAGGTGTTAAGGACTTTAGTAATCATGTTCACATTAGCCCATTTAATCCTTCACCTTGAAAAAGGAGCTGGGGGTTCAGAGGTTAAGTAACTTCTCTACTTATCTAAGGTCATTCAGCAAGTAAATTGTAGAACTTAGATTGGAATGTGAGTTTCTTAACTCCAAACCTCATGATCTCAACTTTACCATATTGCCTTTAACTTAGCTTGCTTAATTAACAGAGCTCTTTTTTTGTTGTTGTTGTCTTTTATTCTAATTGAAATAAATCAAAACATCTTCCATCACTACATCTGATGGAAGACTGGATAGGATGTTAGACATTTTGCTTTAACAAACCTTGAAACTTCCTGTTATTGGTCATATATGGATATAAATTTATTTTTTTTTAAAAGGGGTGTGGCTGTGTTGGGTGTAGCTTAGTGATAGATTGCTTGCTTAGTATGCATGAGGCCCTGGGTTCAACTACCCAGCGCACACACACGCACACAGCCCCCCGCCTCCCACTGGCTGCCCCAAAAAAGTTTACAAACCAGGAAGAGGCAGTCATTGGTATCCTAGATATAAATTTATACCACATCAGTATTTTCCATTTTGGACTTTTATAAGATTTTGAATATGTACTGATGGTCCCCAAATTAAGGTGGTTTAACTTAATGATTTTTTTTGACTTTATGATGACTGAAAGTGATATACATTTAGTAGAAAGTCTATTTCAGATTTTGAATTTTGATACTCTCTCATGATCATGGGCAGTGGCCAGAGGGCTAGTCATTTGTGCAGTCATGAGGGTAAACAACCAATTATACTGTGTAGTATACTGTGCTACTTACCAGTGATGTTCAGTAGGTTAGGTATATTAAATGCCTTTTAAGTTACAATATTTTTTTTGCTGGGGGGGGGGGGAACATGTGTCTTTATTGTGATTATTTAGTTTCTTTTTTTTACAAATTGCATATTCTTAAACATTTTTAAGAATGATCAGTTTTGGGCTGGGGTTGTAGTTCAGGAGATCATTTGCCTTGCTTGTGTGGGGCACTGGGTTCAATCCTCAGCACCACATAAAAACAAATAAAATAAAGGTATTGTGTCTGTCTACAACTAAATATATAGATATATATTTAAATATATATATATTTAAAAGAATATATATATATATTTAAAGGAATGGTTAGTTTTTTTTTTTTTTTTAAAGTGTTCAATTTTCTCTTGTATACTTACATGGCTTACAATATTTTCAATGTATGATGTGTTTTTCAAGACATAACCCCGTTAAAGAAGAGGTGCATGTGTATATGTACTACACTGAGCTTTGTTGTTAATATATCAAATACCTATTCTTCTGGAGCTTTCAGTTACATGAGGTAGGGTAGATGTCTGTATAGAGGCAGGATTGAAAAGGAGTGAAGGACACACCTTGGAATCTAAATGATGTGTGTTTACTTTCTTACTTTATCAGTTCTCTCGTCTTGTGACCTTAGATATGTTCCTTTAGCCTTCTGAGCTCTAGTTCCTTATCTGTTAGATGTGGACTCATCTCTTAGTTATTCATCTAACTCTGAGGGGTTTTGAGGATTTCTCCATGAGATATTTTGAGGATCAGATGAACTAACAGTACATATGAGTGCTTAACATCACAATGCTGAGTGTATATCAAGCATGCAAATATTAGCTGTTATTATATGATCCTCAGTGACTATATTTGGGGAAGGTGTTGATAAATGTAGACTTCATAATAGAACTATTTGTTCTTAGTATCAGTGTTCCAGTGTTTTTGTGTGTTGCTTTAAGTTTCTTTGAGAAAACATAAGAAATTGATATTGGTGCTATTAGAAAGGAGATTCTGGACTTCTGGAGTAGGAGACTTAATTATTCTTATTGAATGTCTTCTGGCCTGTTTTTTTCCCCAAAATTGTACTTATTAACTAGTTAAAAAACTAGTTATTGGGCTGGGGATGTGGCTCAAGCGGTAACGCGCTCACCTGGCATGCGCGGGGCGCTGGGTTCGATCCTCAGCACCACATAGAAATAAAATAAAGATGTTGTGTCCACTGAAAACTAAAAAATAAATACTAAAAAACTCTCTCTCAAAAAAAAAAAAAAACCAAAAAAAAAAACCTCTAATTATTATTTTCATGGATTATGTGGAGATGCTTTTTCCATACTTGAGAATCAGTTAGAAGCATTGCACCTTGAATATTTATTCTTTTCTATTTTAGATCATATTTCCAGGCAATAAATACACTTACATGATGTAATTATTTTTAATTTTATCTATCAAAAAACAAACAAACAAACAAAGTCTTCTCAGTTTGATTTACAAATTAAACAAGATTGAAAAAATTTGTTCTTTTTTTTTTTTGGTATGTGGGATTGAACCCAGGGGTGCTTAACCACTGAGCTACATCCTCAGCCTTTTTATTTTTTGAGACTGGGTTTGGTTAAGTTGCTTAGGGCCTTGCTAGGTTGATGAGGTTGGCTTTGAACTTGCAATACTCCTGCCTCAGCCTCCCAAGCCACTGGAATTAAGGCATGCGCCACCTCACCTGGCTTTATGTTCTTGTTCTTGCTTTATGTCTTATATTGAGATGAAGGACAAAGGACCATGCAGTATTTCTGAATTGCCATCATTACCTAGTATTGTACCTTCTACATAGTGTTTTCTAAGTGACTTATTGTTTTTGCATATACATAGCTAATTGGTCAGGTTAATTAACAGATGAAGCAAGTATTGCCACTGTTGCCTTTGCTTTGTTTTTTCTGGTGTTTGGGAACATCTTGAGCCTCTTGATGGTTGCTGGGGAAGGTCAGATAAAGAATTAGAAGGACTTTAATCTTATAGACTTAGCAGCCAATAATCCTGTGTAATAACTAATTTTTGTCCTGCATTTTTGGTGCCAAGGTGAATATTCATGTATTCATTTTAGGATAATTTCCAACAGTGTTATAAGCGAGGAGGGACAACATCTGGTGGTCCTCGGGCAAATTCAAGAGGTAAGGGTCATTAAGTGAGTAGTTTATTTATCAAAAGCATAATTTTAGTTCATTCTGCACCTTCTTCCAACTTCTCCCCCAAAGTGTATTGCTTCCAGCATTGATCTTGTTAAAGTTTTAGTTTTCTTAAGAGTAATACTGAACTAAATCCCCAGCCTAAAAACAATCTTTTCTTTTTGAAAAAGTAACCAATATTTACAACATCTTTGCCTTATATTTAAGCTTTTTTTTTTTTTTTTTTAATGGTACTGGGAATTGAACCCAGAGGCACTTTACCACTGAGCTACATCTCCAGCCCTTTTTTATTTTTTTGAGGCAGAGATTTGCTAAATTGCATAGAGCCTTGCTAAGTTGCTGAGGCTGACCTCAAACTTGCTATCCTTCTGCCTCAGCTTCCCAAGTTGCTGGGATTATGGGTGTGTGCCACTGCACCTGACCTAAACATTATTTTTGTATGGCCCCTATCACATTAAAATTATTTGATGTCACATTAACTTGGAAATAAAAAATAAGCATTCATCATGTGGTTTAATACCAAATCAAAATATCTCTGAAGAGCTATTAGCCAGTAGTTCTAAAAGTTGGTTTCTTAATCTAGGTTTTATTTTATTTCTATATTACCTACTTTGAGTAGAAGATGGATCATGAGAAATTAACTGAGTCAGAATTATGGGAAAAAGATACAGAAGTAAAAAATGTTTAAACCTGGGGTTAAGTTTTTGTTAACCTTTTAATCTAACCTTTTCGGGGACCACATTTTCTTAAGAAAATTTTTAAAAAGACAATTAGATAAGATTAGTTAGGTCCCTTTTGGCTTCAGAATAGTATTATAAAGTCTATTCCAGAAAATCTAAGAAAGTATAAGCTATTTACATTTTTATTGCTTTTTGTTTTGGAATTTACTATAAAATGTATCTTTATCTGTGTTTCAGTAGCCGACTAATGTTAAATATTGTGTTCAAAGCTAACTGCTTCATTATGAGAAACTCACTGTTGCTAATAAAACAGCAGGGTGGAGTGATTCTTCTCAGGTGAGCAGCCCAGAAAGAGACAACGAAACCTTTAACAGTGGTGACTCTGGACAAGGAGACTCCCGTAGCATGACCCCTGTGGATGTGCCAGTGACAAACCCAGCAGCCACCATACTGCCAGTACACGTCTATCCCCTGCCTCAGCAGATGAGAGTTGCCTTCTCAGCAGCCAGAACCTCTAACCTGGCCCCTGGAACTTTAGACCAACCTATTGTGTTTGATCTTCTTCTGAATAACTTGGGGGAGACTTTTGATCTTCAGCTTGGTAGATTCAATTGCCCAGTGAATGGCACTTATGTTTTCATTTTCCATATGCTAAAGCTGGCAGTGAATGTGCCACTGTATGTCAACCTCATGAAGAATGAAGAGGTGTTGGTATCAGCCTATGCCAATGATGGTGCTCCAGACCATGAAACTGCTAGCAATCATGCAATTCTTCAGCTCTTCCAGGGAGACCAGATATGGTTACGTTTGCACAGGGGAGCAATTTATGGAAGTAGTTGGAAATATTCTACATTTTCAGGCTATCTTCTTTATCAAGATTGAGTCAGTTCAGAATTGACAAAGGATGGTGTTCGAATTAGTGGGGTTGGAGAAAATGTAGTCCTTGCCCTGGTGACTGATTGGTTTAAGAAAATGTTTTCATTCCTAGAGGAAGGTGGAGGTCCTTACTTTTTTGTTTTCCTCTCTAGGTGAAAAAGTTCAAGCTGAATGACAATTAGCACTAATCTGGCACTTTATAAATTGTGATGTAGCCTTGCTAGTCAAGCTGTGAATGTATATTGTTTGCACTTAATCCTTAACTGTATTAACGTTGAGCTTACTAAACTGACTGCCTCAAGTTCAGGCAAGTTACAATGCCTTGTTGTGCCTCAATAAAAAAGTTACTTGCACCTTCAGTTGTTCCTATTTGATTGAACACTTAGATGAGAGGTAAGATACCTAAGTTTTTAGAATTCATCACTGATAATTCTTGAATGGTTATTTATTCATGGGTTCATGCTGTTATTTTAAAATAAGACTTTTTGGGGCTGGGGATGTGGCTCAAGTGGTAGCGCGCTCGCCTGGCATGTGTGCGGCCCGGGTTCGATCCTAAGCACCACATACAAACAAAGATGTTGTGTCCGCCGAAAACTGAAAAATAAATATTAAAAAAAAAAAAAATAAATAAATAAAAAAAATAAATAAAATAAAATAAGACTTTTATATATAACAGTTCCTTTCAGGGTCACTGATATACATCTCTTTAATTAAAAAATTTAATATGTTTTCAATGGACCAAATCACACATTCTCCTTGAAACTTTTTTCTTTTCTTTCTTTTTTTTTGCAGTAGGGCATGTACTTCCTTTAATTAGGTCTTTTTTTGGAACCTCCTACATGTATAATAATACAAGATACAATAGAAAATACACAGGTAATATCCTGGTCCACCATCAGTAAGGCTTTTGCTTTCTCCTGGGTTCTTGATTTAATTTGAATTAGGTAAAATGCTAAATCATCAAAAAGCATAGTCTTTGGTCAGGCAATACTGTGTTTGAGCCTTGGTGCTACCACTTCATAACTGATCTGGATTGGATAAGTTATCCAATTGAATAAGCTATTTTACCTCTAAGATCTCTCTCTCTCTCTCTCTCTCTCTCTCTCTCTCTCGTTTATTTTTAAAGACTGTCTTTACACACGTAAAATGGGAATGATGACGATGATTGGTCAGTCTCATGGGGCAGTTGTGAAACTTAGCTAAGAATATGTCTAAAAGACTTAGTACCTGGCTCTTGGCATTAATGAATATGAGGTGCTGTGGGTTTTTTTGTTTTTTCTTCATTTTGAAGACTATACAAGGTTCTGTGTATGTGTGTATATGTTGCCTTATGAAGTATAGTAGGTACTACCAGAGTTTACTGTTCATTTGAGACATGTAACATCTCAAACTTCACCCTTTAAGCTTTTTATCTTTCTCATTAATAATTAATATTTTATTTCTCAATTTTTTTTGCATTTAAAAATCATTAAATTAGTTCTATTCACCGAAGCTCTTAGAAGCAGTACTATTTCATTAGCAACAAGCACAACAAGTACTCAGAGCTTGATTTTTTTTTTTTTTCATCCCACATTTTTTATTGGTGCATTGTGATGGGATTTGTCGTTATGTATTTGTACATGCACACATTGCAATAATATAATTTGATCAGTATCACTCCCCAGGACTTCCCCCCTCCCTCCCTGTTTCCTACCTCTTGGTCCCTTCCTCTACTGATCTTGCTTTGATTTTTAGGAGATCTACTCCCATCTTTCTTTTCCTTTTTCTTCTCTAGCTTCCAATGTGAGAGAAAACATAAAATCCTTGACCTTCTGAGTTTGACTTATTTCATTTAATATAATGGTCTCTGATTCCATCCATTTTCCTGCAAAAGCCGTAATTTCATTTTTCTTTTTGGCTGAATAAAATTCATCAAAACTATTTTATTGCAATATGGAGAAATAGATGCAAGTCTTCTGCTAAAGCAGAAAGTTGTTTCAATTCTCTTCTGAGATGTTGAGTAAACTTGGGAAGCTGGTAAAAGGTTTTATATCTACAAAAGTTATTTTTGAGCTGGGTCTGGGTTCAGCAGTTAAACCCTGCAGCTATGCATAACTTTATTTTTCACGGGGCGGTTACCGGGGATTGAACTTGGGGGCACTTATCCACTGAGCCACATCCCCAGCTCTGTTTAGTATTTTACTTAGAGACAAGATCTCATTGAGCTACTTAGCACCTTGCTTTTGGTGTGCCACCATTACCAGCTTTCTTTTTTCTTTTTTTTTGAGATGGGTTCTCACTGTATTGCCCACATTGGCCTTCAATTTGAACTCAATCCTCAATCCTTCCTCCGAGGTTGCTAGAATTACAGGTACATACACATGGCTTCTCTTTGTGGTTTTAAATTTTAGTGTTCTCAGTAGAGAGGATTTGGGGTGAGTCACTATTTAACAGAATTTTTTTCAGTTCATGGTAGATACTTTGTAGGTTAGTATTTCAGTTAAATAAATTAGTTCATGGTTTGGCGTTTATGTCCAGAACACAAAGTATAATGATTGAAAGCAAAATTTGGTGTATAGGAATAGTGAGTCCTCAAGTTCAACAAGGCCTTTATCCATTATGCTTCCTACTATATTGGGATTTTTAGCTTAGTCTTATTTTTCTCCTGCACACAATAAATGCTTATTTTAATAGTGTGAGCATTTCTTGAGTTTTTTAAAATATAAATGCACCAATGGGGATTCATTAAACGGGATATCATAATATTTGTTTTAGGGGAGTTGTTTTCTTTTTTTGACACTAGGGATTGAACTTAGGTATGCTTTACCACTGACCCATATGCCCACCTGTCGCAATATGCGATGGAATCGGGGTCACTCTGGGTAAATTGGGCTGGCAACAAAAAAAACCACACAAACACAGAAAATGCCTTTTTCAGAGTTCAGGACAGCTCTACAGCCTCAAGAATCAAGCTCCATACTGCGGGGCATGGGGAGCAAAGGAGTCAAGAGAGTGAGCAAACCTAAAGTCCCCCTATTTATTGGGGAGAAACCATTCATAGAATATTCCAAATAAGGCAAGGGATCAGGTTTCAGGGGGTTGAGTCTAGCTTCTTGATGTCTTGTGGTCAGTAGATTGATTGACATCTTGGTAAGTCACACCCATCTCGGTGCCTTGTGGGAACACAGGCAGAGCGAGAGGAAAGGGCACATGTGTGTCACACAGCCCAAAGAGCACACAACAGCAGCCAGTCCTCTCATATGCTCAAATTGCACATAGCTTATACTTACAGCCCATGGATGGCTCGTGACACCCACCCTCTTTTATTATTTTGAGACAGGGTCTTGCTAAATTGGATAGGCTGACCTTGGACAATCCTGTTCTGCCTTATCCTTCCAAGTAGCTGGGATTAGAGGCATGTGCTACCACAACTGGAGTTATGGGAGTGTCTGAAATTACTATTTTGCCAAATATAAAGACTATGAATTATAAATTAGACTTATGAAAATGAATGGACATGATCTTTCCTCCTGAAGCAGTATCATTTCTTGCAGTTCTGTGGATTGAAGCCAGAACCTTGTGCATGTTCATAAGCAAGTGTTCTACCACTAAATCTAAATCATCAACCCTGCAGTATAAAATTTTAAAGATAGCTTTGGGATGTTTTAGTAGAAGCATAATATCTTACAGGAAGATTTTCATATGTACATATTTATACATTTGCAAGAGATGGAGTGAACATCCATAGAAATTGAAAGCCCCTTTAATGGAGCTTTTATAAAGAACTTATATTTTACTGGGAAGATCTTGAAAATAGAACTGAAGGACAAAGGCATTTCATAATTACCTGAACATATAAATGCTTTGTTGTCTTACTGAAGGAGATGGACAGGGTATAGTACATGTTTACCATATTCTCCCCCAAGTTCTTTTCCTTCACTTTAAGTCTTTTTGTTAAATGACTTCTTCTCACATCCACAATTGTTAGTTTTTGCATATTGTCTCTAAATTGGTTTGTGAGTAAATGCAGGCATTTAAAGCAAGAAGCTTAGAGGTTTGCTGATTTGTCCCCTTTCTCAACTCCTTAACAGTTATAATCCTTTAACTGTATTTTAATCTTTTCTGTTTGCAAATTAAACTTTTTAGCTTAAATGATCTGGTGTTACATTGTGGTCCTTGTGATAAATAGGATAATATGTTAAGTGTTCTAAAAGGGGAAAAAATTTAAATTTGTCTCTTGGTCCTCTACTTGCTACTTTATTTACCTTAGTAAAGGTATCTTTTTGACTACTTTAGTAATGAGGCTACAATGGCTTTGTCCTTGTTTTTTCAACTTTTGAGCAAGTGTTGACAACTGATAGGTACAGCTCATTTACTACCAGTGTGTGACACCAAATGCCAGATTATAAAAAATCATCTATTATCAATATCAAGAGGATGAAGGCTCACTAATTCTAAGTTTCTTAATTATTATTGTTTCATTGACTATTTCAATATCATAATTTGCTAATGATTAGTCTTTTAAATATTGGGATAATCTCATTTGTACCTGACTCAGACTGCAAAGATGAATGACATTTAAATATTCATATACATCAGGTTCATCACTTTCTTCTACTGAGCAAATCTCAAGTTATTTCTCTGATTTCTGACACACCTCTTTTATTTAGAAGTGTTACTATTCAAAACTAGACCTCTTTGGACCTTTTATTTCAAGGTTTCTTTATTGGGAGATTTTATATTTCTACCATTTCACAGCATTTTAAATTTCTGCTCACGTTTAAAATATCTAAGTACATTTGTTATCAGAATGTTTCTTGTAGTATCCTTATTTCATGATTGCATTTTCTCATTACTAAATGGCAAAGGTTTTTTTTTTTTTTTTTTTTAGGTTTTTTTCTCTCTGTGGTCTATTCCTATACTTTTTACATCCACTTTCTTATCATTATATTTGCCCAGAATCTTGGTAGTTGGCTATTGTTCATACGAAGAACACGGTACCAAAAATGCATTGGAAAATTTGAACACAGAGGTGGGGCTTGTTGACTTTGGACTTTGTGGTATTATGATGTTTCTTTTCCCCAGAGAGGAGGAAGAAACACCAATGTGGGGGTATGGAAGAGCTTTCTAAGTAGGACACAAAACCTAAACAGCATAAAGGATGGATCAATTTTTTTTTAATATTTCTTTTTTATTTTTAGGTGGACACAATATCTTTATTTTATTTTTATGTGGTGTTGAGGATCGAACCCAGTGCCTCATGCATGCTAGACCAGCGCGCTACCACTTGAGCCACATCCCTAGCCCCAAGGATGGATCAATTTGACACACAGAATTTATTCCCCCAAAACTTCTGTTTTCAGGAAAATAGCAATGTCAA